AATAAGCTTTTCATGAATGCGGATAAAACCAATTATATTATTTTCAAGAAACCAGGAGCCTCCCCGGAAGAAGATAGCACTCTTAGACTTGACAACCAAGAGATTAGCATGTCCAAGAATGTCAAATTCCTTGGTCTGATCATGGATGAGAACTTACTGTGGAATGACCATATTGAATATTTAACAAAAAAAAAACTTGCACCCCTAATCGGAGCCCTCTACCGACTAAGGCATATTCTATCAACAAATGCTAAAAAGTCAATCTATTTCGGTCTTATACAAAGCCAGCTAACATATATGAATCTAATCTGGGGATCTGCGACGCAAACTAGCCCAACCCTTTTAAAAAACTTTGCAAAACCGGGCCTTTAAATCTCTTTTTGGACTGAAGTACCGGACTCCCACAGCTGAGCTCTTCAAACCTCGGGGTTTTCCCTCCCCCCGGATAAGCTTCATGGAAAAATACTTATGACAACTGGTTTCGCAATTTTCAACAATCTTTGGAGATGCCAAACAATCTTTATCAGAAATGCCGGTATTCATGCACACAATACAAGAGGATGCAATCTGATGCACTCCAAAAGCTTTAGGTCTACTAAATATGGTTCAAGAAGTATCTACAATCTGATCACCCACTCCTTCAACTCTTTCCCTGTGGAGTGTACAAACTGCAAGAATCTAAGAACTTTCAAAAAGGCCTTAAACACTGCTCTCTTTAACTCTACTTAAAAGAAAAAGAGCCTGTAATATTACTACGCAAAATTGCTGTATCCTCCTTGCACTTGCATTGTCATCATCCAAAAATGCTGTATCTTTCCCGCACTTGTATTGCTGTTATCAACAATCGCTATTATCAATAACAGGAAAATTAGCGATATACATCGGCAACTTTGGCCCGTCCCGTACATTAAGAAACGTACGAATTTTCCCCATGTTTGACCCCGACGGGAATTAAAACTGAGTCTGGGGTTAAAATAAATGTCGTTTTCGTCATCAGCACCTTATAAAAATCAGAAACAATGCAAAAACTCGTAAAAAGAATGTTCCAAAAATACCCGCGGGGTTTGAACCCCGGGGCCGAATTTTCCCATTTGCTCGAAACTGAAACCCTTGGTTTTTTCTCGTCGCCCCGATTCCAAAAAAACCCCTACATGCCCTCCTAGCTGCATCCGTTGCCGAGATCCTCCTGGACCCCATGTAGCCCTGATGCACCTGCAGCAGCGCCCCCGGGGCTCGGATCGGATTTGCTGCCCCGGACGGTTTTTAGGGTCACCCAAGGAGGGCTGCATACCAAATTTGGTCAAGATCGGACCACGGGAAGTCCTCGGACGAACGAACGAACGGACGAACGAACGAACGAACGAACGAACGGACGCACAGCATGCATCATACTATATGCCCGTCCCTCCGTCATTTTTTTACAAAAAATAAACGGGACGGGCCAAAAACTGCTGTATCTTTCCTGCACTTGTATTGCTATCTTGCCTAGTTATCTATCGGTTGTCACTGTTTAAATTCAAATTGTTCCCTTATCTTATGCATTAACTTTTCCTCTCTCACATCAATCTTCTGTTAAAATTTTTTTGTTTCTTTTCTCTTTTTTTGTTGTTGATTGTTAATTGTTTTCTTTTTCATTTAATTTATTTAACTGTTTCTTTTTCATCACAAACCAAAAGTGCCCTGTCAATTTCCAACGAATGTAACAACTCCCCTTTGGAGCAATAGCCCTAAGGAGTTCAAAATTGGTACAAATAAAAAAAAAAAAGAATGCTCAATTTAAGCATAAAGAGTCTCTTGATTAAATTGCGATTGATACGACCGTTCCCCCATCCATTTATATTGGAGGAATCTGAGCGGATGAGCCTGTTACGCCTGATTTCAAATGTTAACTGATTACGCTTGGAAACAGAGGGCAACATTACGCTTTTGTTCCACCAGTGTGGCATCTCCTACTGTTGCCAGCCCCTGCTCTACATGCACCACTTCGGCCGCTGCCAGAGGTTCCAGGTTTCTCCACGACTGTCAGTTTCAGAATTCCATTCCGAGCCTTGTTACCGACACTGAGCACAAAATGTCTAGTGGTCAGAAGTCTCCATTTAACAGAGAGTTCCGGTGCAGGCGACTTGATAGATTAAACTTCACGAAATTTCTGCATCTTCAATGTAACCGTGTTCGTATGTCGAACAAATTCTATACCGGTATTTGCAAGGGGGTACGCACTCGCGTTAGAGTCGCGTCACTCTGTAATAGCACGCGTAATAGTAAGCGTAATAGTCGCGTAATAGCCGAAATTCTCCAAGTTTTACTTATTTTTGGAATGTTTACTGCCAAATTCCGATTATATTGAGTCGCACTGTGTAATAGTCGGGTCGCACAGTTTGGTTACGTAGTGAAAAGTTCAAATCGTTGGATGATAAGGGTGCCCTGTACCAGCGTAATGTGTTGCCTTGCCTAGGCCTCAAATTAGGGTCTTACACCGGGTCAATGAAAATACCATCTGATACCATCAGCGAAGGGATGTGCCAAGTTCGGTACCGAATCGAATGGCATCAGTCAAGAGTCGATTCGGAGTCGGATCGGCACAGTTCGATCTCGAATCATTCTTCATCATCAGTCTTCGAACTGCACTCTCAGAGCCATATTGACTTTTTGTTCATAGCAGCAGCAACATTTCCTAAGTAGCATATGAATTTTTTTACCCAACAATATTACTTAGAAATTTGTTCATATGGCACGAATAAAAAGTCCATGGTATATACAATATTTTTAGTACATTACTAACAAATTTGTTGATAAAATTGTTGATAAATTTGTTAATAAAAATTTACAAGAATAATCACTGACAAAATTTTTGTTGTCACTGAACGACACTTTTAATGCTATTTTTTTCAGCGACAAGATTTATTTTGGAACGGATAGCTTGTTGGACCACTTGTTAGTCAGCAACAAGTTTTGCATGTCCGTAAAAATATTTGTAATGTCTGCAACAAAATATTTATTGATCATGCTCATAGAATTTTATTTGTATGTACTGACTTTATTTATTAGTTACTACTGACAAAATATCTTTGTAGGCACTAACAAATTAGTTCCAGAAGGCCTCCATACTTCTTTTAAACAACTAGTGACAGATTTGTTAGTAAGGCTAACATACAGAATATCAATACATTACACACAGATTTCTACCAGTAAGATACCTATAAAATTGTTCATAAATTACATAGAAATAATTTTTAAGTAAAAGTACAGACAAAAATTGTCAGCATGGCTCTGAGAGTGTGAGCTGTACAGATAAGGAAAAAAGTCCAAAACGATAGGAGAGTTTGAGTAGCATCGAATCGTTCATCTTGATTCGAATTGGATTCGACAACTTTTTCGTGATTCGCTTCGAAAGGTAATTGCTTGGCTCTTAATATCTTTACCTCGATCTCTAACTTAAACTTGAGTGTTAACTCAAGTTTAAGTTAGAGATTCTATTTCAATTCAAAACGAAAATCCTTGATTCGACACCCCTACATCAGAGTAAGGAAGTGTGGGGCAGTTCGTAATAAACATGAATGGAGGCACCTGAAGGAATTCCCCCCATTTAAAAGTGACAGAGAACCGTCTCTTACTGACAGGTAAATGATTTTGGGTAAGTCCACGGCAATATGCGTAACACCTTGGACATTATCACGCCACAATCTTGCAGCTTCAAAGACTGCTGTTTGCAGAAATTCATTTGTGGAAAGATATCAAAATCCCCTCCCATCTCTTTTCACCGTTGAGACAACTCCAGCAACCGGGAGTAAGTTACTTTCATGTACATACTTGCAAAGTTTGGAAGTTTTGCACTGACAAAAATGGAATGGCTCACTATCTGATCCATGAAGCGGAAGAAGGGCGATAACTCAATTTTCATCATTGTTCAGGAGAAACAAACAACGGTTTGCAGGGTAAACTTAACCCAATCAGATGAATGATGCAATTGCACTTTTGGCAAGAAAGCCCAAGAAATAACTGAAAATTTTCAAAAGTGTAGCATTCCTCTGTGATTGAAATCTTTACGTTGGAATAGACTACGGAACCATGTTTACTTAGTTCTCCCAAACCAGGCGGAATTTGGAGACAATTTAAGTGGAACTGAGGTCTGCGTAGAGTCTGGACCTCTTTTTCCCCAACTAGTGATGGGGAGCTAAGTTGAGTTGATTCATTTTACATAAGATTCACAAAGACACAAGTTGAGTCTTCTCCTGTTGCCGACCATAAAAGGGGTCCAGTGGAGTTTTATCAATTTTTCATGTGGATTTTCTCTTAAGCTACTAGGAATGAAGGAAAACAATTTGGTGTAGTGATGCAAACCATCCCGAGGCACGATTATAGTATAAAGACTCAATTTGGAGATTAGTTGAATTATTCCCTTCTTCCGCTTCCCGGATCATCTAGGCATTGAGTAAATGAAAGTGTCTTCCCTTGTCTCCAAAATACACCAAGTGTATTCTACTTTCAACAACTAGCTGGATATGGAATATTTCAAAGTACGTAGGTAGGGTTCCAGTTTTTCGATCCCAGTTTTACCGGTTTTACCCTAAAGCATGGAGCTCCCGGCGCTGTTCAAGTCGGAAAAGGACAGGAAAACAATGAGGCAAAATGAATGTCCATGCAAGGGCTTTATTTCACTAAATAACACAAAGTGACGAACTCGTCTTTAAGTAGACAAAAGGGCAAAATAAAAAAAAAAAAAAAAAATGAAAGAAATAAGTGATGTGTCCATGTACTCGCACATCTCCAACCGACAGACAAATGACAAATGTTCAAACCGAATGAAATGAGTCCTTAGAGATATTATGTGCAAATCAAGCGTGTCCACTACGATGATACATATTTAAGCAGCATGAATGGAACCATCACAACAATTCAAATTGCAAACGATAAGCCCGTAAGAAAGTTGACGCCCAGGTATTAACTCATGACGCCAGCAGTCAGCCACAGCGTCAGCCTGAAGTGGGAGGCCAACACCGCTAGGCGCTGTCCGCAGCCTTCTTGCCCCACTGCACGCCCACTCCGCGCCGGGCCCACTCCTCCTGGCACTGCGCCACCAGGGTCGCCAGCTCGGAGCCTTTGGCGGCGCGCCGCAGCGTCGGGCTGAGCTGCACGCGCTTCAGGGCGGCCAGGTCCTTGAGCAGGGCGAGGTGGCGGGGCTCCAGCTCGGGGTTCTCGTCCAGCACTCCCTCCTCGGCGAAGGGTTCTTGTCCAGGATCGGGGTGCAGCGCGTCCGCGCTCCAGCCGCAGCCCTCCAGCGTCAAGCACTTCAGCGAGCAGCACACCCCGGCCACGGCGGTCAGCACCTGCCACAGAAAGAGGCGTGTCACAGAGGGTCCGTCCAAAATGTTTTGAATGAAGTTTTAAACGAGGCATCACAGTTTTTGAGTTAAGGGGGCAGTCTCGACCCTGTACCCTTTTTTAGGTGGGTTTTTTCCCTCTCTTTTGATAGCGATTATTTTTACCTCTTACAGACAAACGGTAAAAACCAAATAAAAGAACGGAATTTTTACAACATTTTCAAAAAAAAAAAATGTTTTGGTTTGTCTTTAGTTGTAGGGGAGTTATAGGTAATGCAACAAAAGCCTGCAAAACATACAAAATTTCACTGCGCGACATTTTTCTCCAGAAGTTCTTAACTTTTTGGCGATCGGTTAGCGGCGTTTTGAAGATAAAAAAATGGTCTTTACTTTAACCTACAATCATCCCTATAGCCCAAGAAAAACGTGTTTTATCAACGTATCCAAATATGTCTACAAACTTCGGTATGGTTTTAATAATGGTTTTCCTTGGGCTATATGGATGATTGTAGGTTAAAGTAAAGACCATTTTTTTATCTTCAAAACGCCGCAAACCGATCGCCAAAAAGTTGAGAACTTCCGGAGAAAAATGTCGCGCAGTGAAATTTTGTATGTTTTGCAGGCTTTTGTTGCACTATTTTTAACTCCCTTTCAAATAAAGACAAAACAAAAAATTTTTTTTTGAAAGTATTGTAAAAATTCGAATTTTTACAACATTTTCAAAAAAAAATCTGTTCTTTCATTTGTTTTTTACCGTGTGTCTCTAAGAGGTATATTTAAAAAAATCAACGCCATCAAAAGAGGGGGGAAAACCCCCTTAAAAAAGGGTCCAGGGACGAGACTGCCCCCTTAAAACGCACACGAACGTTTCGTACAAAATTGTACGCGGTTTCGCACAAAACTGGGAATGTGCCGTTTTCATACAATAATTGTACGAAAAATTCGTGTGCACAAAAAACTGTGATTGTGCCCGCCCGCCCATTCATGGCAAGAAAAATACACCCATACAGAGCTATAACGAGTTGCGCGTAATTTTAATGCCTTCTAAAGGCACGTCATAATTGTAAGGCCCTGCCAAAAAAACTCAACTTATGTTTGAGCGCTAGTAGCACAAGCGCATAAAAATTCTACGCTCTTTCAGGCACAAGCACTCTTTTTGCGCCCTTTAAGGGCGTGAATCGTGTTAAGCCCTTATGACGAGGGTAAATGGTACAGGACTTATAAGCAAAATTTTGACGCCCTTCCAAAAGGCATAAACAATTCACGCCGTTTCATGGGCGTTTATCATTAACGCCCTTGAAGGGCATAACTTTTACGCCTTTGTTTCGCCAGTGAGCCCTAAAATGCGAAGTCTTTCTTTTAGGTCATTGTTTGCCAGTAATGTTCATTTGGTTTTAAAAAAAGGCATAAAAATTACGCCCCTTTTGGGGATAAATACTCTTCTACGCCCCTTTTGGGCATAAATCCATTTTTGCCCTTGGGAAGGGCGTAAATGGTATAGGAATTTCAAGCAAAATGTTGGTGCCCTTCCCAAAGGCATTAACGAAATATGCCCTTCAAGGCCGTAAATCGTTTACGCCCTTAAAGGGCATAATTTTAATGCCTTTGTTTCACCAGTGTTGATGCACTTGCCTGGTTCCAGCTGGCTTGCGCCTTCCGCACGAGTTTCTCGGGGGCCTTGGCGAACAGCGCGAGGGAGAACGGCGCCTTGCTGGGCACCTTGAACGTGAGCTGCTTGAGCCCCGCCCAGGTCGCCGGGGGCCCCGGCGATGACGGCCGCCGCCTTGACCACCGCGTCGCTCTTCGGGGGGGGGGTGTGGTGGAACACCACCGTGGCGCCCTGCAGCTTCGACATCTTCTCGGTCACGTGCAGCAGCTCCACCGCACCCCGATGGACCGCACGTTGTGCAAGCCCCCCAGCAGGTCCACGATCTCCAGCCCATGCGCGTTTTCTAGACAGCCCAAGAGCGCTTTAGCATACACTCCATGGGAAAGGAGAGAAGGGGAGGGGAAGAGACTCAAGCGAAGTGAAAGAGAAAAGAGAGGATAAAGGGGGAGAAAAAGAGGGGAGGGGGAGAGAGAGAGAAGAAAGAGAGAGAAGGCCAATGACATGTGCAATTTCCGGGGAATTCCTGGAAGAACAGGAACCGTTTCTACCGTGTGCACGCTAACGAAGCATGCTTAGCGCCGTATAGTACTCCAAGCTAAGCACACACTAAGATTCCAAACGCTATGAACCGTGGCATGTTTTGTGCAATGAATTAAGATATCGCACAATACGTGCAATGTCACAGCCACATTGCCTCTCACGTGCAACTGCCACGTGCACATTGCCCCTCACAGCCAGTGGCGTGCCCTCACCACCGTCCGCAGAAAAGTCCCCTCACCTGGACGCAGGCCATGTCCAGCACGGTCACGGCGTCCCCCTTGGCGGCCAGCAGGTCACGAGGAAGTCCTCCTGCTCCTCCTCGCGCTCGCCGCCCCCCGCGCTCTCGTACTCGAAGTCCTCGTAGTCGGGGCCGCCGTCGATGGCGGCGCGGAACTGCTGCTGGAACCAGTCCGTCGTCAGGTGCAGGTGGAGGCGCTTGAGGGCGGGCAGCGCGGCGGGCGCCTGCTTGGTCTTGGTGGACGGCAGGCCGTAGCGGTCATCGACGCTCAGCTCCCCGCGGTAGGTGTAGTAGTGCAGGGACAGCGGCATGTACGTCAGGCGTAGCTCCTCCAGGTGCGGCATGCTGGACACCACCTGCAGGGACACCGTTTCACTATAAGGTCCGCCACGAATCGTCATCACACTTTCGACGCCTCCTAACAGAATAATCTTAAGGGGAGGTTCTGGTGAAAATCTTGCCGTTTTCGAAATGGATGCCACTGTCATAATTTTTTCGGAACATAAAATTTTTCTTCGAGGAGACCAAAATTTGACTTTTGACGGCCAGGCTTTGAACCCAGTCGAAGAGTCTCTTTGAGAGTATTTTGGCTGTACCTAAAAAAAAATCATCTTGCGCACACTATTTTGACGTAAAAGGTTGACGTTGACATTTTTCACTTCTTCAATACATTTTCAGAAGATTCTGGAATGCATAGCTCAAAATTTCCGTCATATTATTAATTGAAAGCTTTTTTAAACTGAAAAGTCCCTAAATTTCGTCTATTTTGTACGTTTTTTATCAATAGTAGTGAAATGCTTGGTTAGAAAGCTTGCGAATAAAAATAAAATTTACCTTTTGAGTTGTGCATGCCGGCGTCTGTTAAAAATGAATGGAAGAAGTGAAAAATGTCAAGGCCAACCTTTTACGACAAAATAGTATACGCAAGAAGATTTAAAAAGTTCTAGCCGTAATGGGAGAATAAGGCTCTGAGACTGGGTTCAGGGCATAGAATGTGCCTCCCCAATGAAAAATTTAAATAATTACTTGGTAAGACACCAAATTTTTACCAAATTTTCACAGTGAGACCGATTTTGAAGAAAATAGCGTTTTCACCAGAACCTCCCCTTAATTGTCAGAGCAGATCCAAGAAAATCTTAACTGTCGGAGCGGACAGAATCCTTTTGGTGCGATCCCGCATTTCTGATAAAATTTTGCGAAAAAGATTTTAGTTCTGCTATTTTAGTAGATGCAATGATGGGAAAACCCTTGCTCAAAAATAATATAAGAACCCAATATAGAATTTCAAGTAATTCCTTCTCTCCGCTTCGTGGATCATTAGTTCGCAACGTTCCGCATGCAGAGTGTGAAAGGCCACGAAGTCGACCACCTGCGTCCAGACTGCGAGGACTCCAGATTCTCCGAGTTCCGAACTAATGGTTTTGTTAAGCCACCAGTGTGCAGGACCGAAAATGTCTATTCGACTACAAACGCCACCTAACAGCCGCTTGGAACGCACGGCCGCTCGAACTACGGCACCAGAGGCAACCTCACCTTCCAGATACAGTCCTTCTTCTTGCCGTTGTTGGGCTGCAGCAGCAGGCGGTTCGTCATGCTCAGCGTGCGCAGGCTCTCCTTGTAGCTGGCCAGCAGCTTCACCAGCAGAGGCGAGTACATCTTGCAGGTGGCCCACTGGGCGTCCTCCAGGTGAAGGGCCGCCACATCCTTCAAGTGGAAAACAGATTTGTTGAGTGTTAGACAGTGAACAGTGGACCAGCAACATGACGAAAGATCGAGGGGTCAATAATTCAGCGTTCTCGTGCACACAAGAGTACATGACACTGCGAGAAAAAACTACAGAAAATCCTGTGATTTTTTCACAGCGTCGCTCTGTACCCAAAACTACAGTGATCTCCGTCTTTTAAAAGACGGAGCTCACTGTTGTTTTTAGTTACATATCTCTGTTGTCCGAGCGGCCAATGCCACATCGGGACGGCATGGTCAAAGCCTCATAGGTCACCGTTGGGTCCCCGAGGACGTCGACGGGCACCTCACAAGGTCCCCGATAACGATGCGAGCATTTTAGACCTAGGTTCCGACCATTCGTTGAAAAGGTCTCATCAAGATCTACTCGAATCAAGAATAAAAAAAATTCTTGGGCAACCCCCCTTTTTAAAAAAGGGTCCAGGGACGAGACTGCCCCCTTAAAAACGCACACAAAACTTTTTCGTACAAAATTGTACGCGGTTTCGCACAAAACTGGGAATGTGCCGTTTTCATACAATAATTGTACGAAAAATTCGTGTGCACAAAAAACTGTGATTGTGCCCGCCCGCCCATTCATGGCAAGAAAAATACACCCATACAGAGCTATAACGAGTTGCGCGTAATTTTAATGCCTTCTAAAGGCACGTCATAATTGTAAGGCCCTGCCAAAAAAACTCAACTTATGTTTGAGCGCTAGTAGCACAAGCGCATAAAAATTCTACGCTCTTTCAGGCACAAGCACTCTTTTTGCGCCCTTTAAGGGCGTGAATCGTGTTAAGCCCTTATGACGAGGGTAAATGGTACAGGACTTATAAGCAAAATTTTGACGCCCTTCCAAAAGGCATAAACAATTCACGCCGTTTCATGGGCGTTTATCATTAACGCCCTTGAAGGGCATAACTTTTACGCCTTTGTTTCGCCAGTGAGCCCTAAAATGCGAAGTCTTTCTTTTAGGTCATTGTTTGCCAGTAATGTTCATTGGTTAAACAAAGGCATAAAAATTACGCCCTTTAGGGCATAAATACTCTTCTACGCCCTTTAGGGCATAAATCCATTTGTGCCCTTGGGAAGGGCGTAAATGGTATAGGAATTTCAAGCAAAATGTTGGTGCCCTTCCCAAAGGCATTAACGAAATATGCCCTTCAAGGCCGTAAATCGTTTACGCCCTTTAAAGGGCATAATTTTAATGCCTTTGTTTCACCAGTGTTGATGCACTTGCCTGGTTCCAGCTGGCTTGCGCCTTCCGCACGAGTTTCTCGGGGGCCTTGGCGAACAGCGCGAGGGAGAACGGCGCCTTGCTGGGCACCTTGAACGTGAGCTGCTTGAGCCCCGCCCAGGTCCCCGGGGGCCGCGGCGATGACGGCCGCCGCCTTGACCACCGCGTCGCTCTTCGGGGGGGGGGTGTGGTGGAACACCACCGTGGCGCCCTGCAGCTTCGACATCTTCTCGGTCACGTGCAGCAGCTCCACCGCACCCCGATGGACCGCACGTTGTGCAAGCCCCCCAGCAGGTCCACGATCTCCAGCCCATGCGCGTTTTCTAGACAGCCCAAGAGCGCTTTAGCATACACTCCATGGGAAAGGAGAGAAGGGGAGGGGAAGAGACTCAAGCGAAGTGAAAGAGAAAAGAGAGGATAAAGGGGGAGAAAAAGAGGGGAGGGGGAGAGAGAGAGAAGAAAGAGAGAGAACCAATGACATGTGCAATTTCCGGGGAATTCCTGGAAGAACAGGAACCGTTTCTACCGTGTGCACGCTAACGAAGCATGCTTAGCGCCGTATAGTACTCCAAGCTAAGCACACACTAAGATTCCAAACGCTATGAACCGTGGCATGTTTTGTGCAATGAATTAAGATATCGCACAATACGTGCAATGTCACAGCCACATTGCCTCTCACGTGCAACTGCCACGTGCACATTGCCCCTCACAGCCAGTGGCGTGCCCTCACCACCGTCCGCAGAAAAGTCCCCTCACCTGGACGCGGGCCCCTGTCCAGCACGGTCACGGCGTCCCCCTTGGCGGCCAGCAGGTCACGAGGAAGTCCTCCTGCTCCTCCTCGCGCTCGCCGCCCCCCGCGCTCTCGTACTCGAAGTCCTCGTAGTCGGGGCCGCCGTCGATGGCGGCGCGGAACTGCTGCTGGAACCAGTCCGTCGTCAGGTGCAGGTGGAGGCGCTTGAGGGCGGGCAGCGCGGCGGGCGCCTGCTTGGTCTTGGTGGACGGCAGGCCGTAGCGGTCATCGACGCTCAGCTCCCCGCGGTAGGTGTAGTAGTGCAGGGACAGCGGCATGTACGTCAGGCGTAGCTCCTCCAGGTGCGGCATGCTGGACACCACCTGCAGGGACACCGTTTCACTATAAGGTCCGCCACGAATCGTCATCACACTTTCGACGCCTCCTAACAGAATAATCTTAAGGGGAGGTTCTGGTGAAAATCTTGCCGTTTTCGAAATGGATGCCACTGTCATAATTTTTTCGGAACATAAAATTTTTCTTCGAGGAGACCAAAATTTGACTTTTGACGGCCAGGCTTTGAACCCAGTCGAAGAGTCTCTTTGAGAGTATTTTGGCTGTACCTAAAAAAAAATCATCTTGCGCACACTATTTTGACGTAAAAGGTTGACGTTGACATTTTTCACTTCTTCAATACATTTTCAGAAGATTCTGGAATGCATAGCTCAAAATTTCCGTCATATTATTAATTGAAAGCTTTTTAAGCTGAAAAGTCCCTAAATTTCGTCTATTTTGTACGTTTTTTATCAATAGTAGTGAAATGCTTGGTTAGAAAGCTTGCGAATAAAAATAAAATTTACCTTTTGAGTTGTGCATGCCGGCGTCTGTTAAAAATGAATGGAAGAAGTGAAAAATGTAAAGGGCCCAAACCCTTTTTTACGAAAAAATAGTATACGCAAGAAGATTTAAAAAGTTCTAGCCGTAATGGGAGAATAAGGCTCTGAGACTGGGTTCAGGGCATAGAATGTGCCTCCCCAATGAAAAATTTAAATAATTACTTGGTAAGACACCAAATTTTTACCAAATTTTCACAGTGAGACCGATTTTGAAGAAAATAGCGTTTTCACCAGAACCCCCCCTTTAAATTTGTCAGAGCAGATCCAAGAAAATTTTAACTGTCGGAGCGGACAGAATGCACTTCGGTGCGTATCTGCATTTCTGATAAAATTTTGATCGAAAAGAGATTTTAGTTCTGCTAGTTCAGTAGATGCAATGATGGAAACCATTGCTCAAAAATAATATAAGAACCCAATATAGAATTTCAAGTAATTCCTTCTCTCCGCTTCGTGGATCATTAGTTCGCAACGTTCCGCATGCAGAGTGTGAAAGGCCACGAAGTCGACCACCTGCGTCCAGACTGCGAGGACTCCAGATTCTCCGAGTTCCGAACTAATGGTTTTGTTAAGCCACCAGTGTGCAGGACCGAAAATGTCTATTCGACTACAAACGCCACCTAACAGCCGCTTGGAACGCACGGCCGCTCGAACTACGGCACCCAGAGGCAACCTCACCTTCCAGATACAGTCCTTCTTCTTGCCGTTGTTGGGCTGCAGCAGCAGGCGGTTCGTCATGCTCAGCGTGCGCAGGCTCTCCTTGTAGCTGGCCAGCAGCTTCACCAGCAGAGGCGAGTACATCTTGCAGGTGGCCCACTGGGCGTCCTCCAGGTGAAGGGCCGCCACATCCTTCAAGTGGAAAACAGATTTGTTGAGTGTTAGACAGTGAACAGTGGACCAGCAACATGACGAAAGATCGAGGGGTCAATAATTCAGCGTTCTCGTGCACACAAGAGTACATGACACTGCGAGAAAAAACTACAGAAAATCCTGTGATTTTTTCACAGCGTCGCTCTGTACCCAAAACTACAGTGATCTCCGTCTTTTAAAAGACGGAGCTCACTGTTGTTTTTAGTTACATATCTCTGTTGTCCGAGCGGCCAATGCCACATCGGGACGGCATGGTCAAAGCCTCATAGGTCACCGTTGGGTCCCCGAGGACGTCGACGGGCACCTCACAAGGTCCCCGATAACGATGCGAGCATTTTAGACCTAGGTTCCGACCATTCGTTGAAAAGGTCTCATCAAGATCTACTCGAATCAAGAATAAAAAAAATTTTTGGGTAAACCCCCCTTTTAAAAAGATCCTGATTGGTCAACTGGATCTTGAAAAAAGGGGGTTGACCAAGAAATATTTTTATTCTTGATTCGAGTAGATCTTGAAGAGGGGACATTCCACGTGAATCCAGCGACGGTTTGGAATCGAGGTCCTCGGATTTCGACCTAAGTGGTATCAATCGATTCGGTATCGGCCCCTGACTCACCATGTAAATTTTTTTGAAAAAATTTTGAACGGTTTAGTTTTTGCACCAGTTTTATGGTTTTAAAAGTTTAAAAATAGTAAAAACAAATTTTTTTTTCAAATTTTTTTTTAGGTGTTCTTTAGGGTTTAGGAATGAGGGAAAAGCATTAAAAGTTGTTTAAAAACCATCTGGGAGGTTTTAAGATAGTGAAAATGGTGAATTTTTGGGGAAAATTTGAAAACAAATTTCAACCGTTCTGAAAAAACGTCATCATGGGTTTTGGCCAAACTTTTTTTTTTTTTCCTCTACTATTGGTGCATACTCCCCTTTAAAAGGGTTTGGATGGCCCCCCCCAAATTTTTTTTTCTAGAGCCTATAACATGTCTAATTGCGGCATAAACGTTTTGAAAAAAACTGAAAAATTTAGACCACTTTTGTCAGACTTGGGGGTCTGAATTCATTTTTCAGACTTGGTTTTAGACTGCTTGTCTGAAAAATTTTGCCTTTCGGTATGAAAAATGCAACCTGACCATCTTAAAAATTGAATTCAGATCAGCGCAGTCTGAAAATTTTGACAGTTAAGTCTGAAAATTCAGACCAACCCAAGATTTCGTTTGTCCGCTAGATGGCGCACGTGGTTTTGAGACATACCTCCTTCTATTTTAAAGGCGTCTGATGGAAAAAAGACTAATTAAAAAGTTTAAAATTGACAAAACTTAATCGGCCATATGAGAACTATTCTCTGCTGCAAGATTTATCTCCGTACTATAGGTGGGAGTTGAACAATTCACATTTTAATTTACCTCTCGCGGGTGGCTCCGTGTCGCCATTTCCTTGGGTGCCGCAGGCCGGCCCCTCGAAAGTCAGGGAAAGTCGCAAGGATCTTCTTCCCAAACACAATTTTTAATCGATGACGTTTCCCCTTTGGAGGACTTCATACGCTTGAGATGGTTCCAATGTTTAATTCACATGGCACGGACCTTAATATTTGCTATCTCCATACAGGTCTGAATGTTCAGACCACCAAATCTTAAATGTAAGACTCGCCAGTTCTTAACTTTCAGACCATCTAAATGGTCTGAATTTTCAGACCTCAAGTCTGTTAATAACTTCTGACCAATTTTGTCTGAATTTTCAGACTTTTTTTTTAACAGTGATATCCCTTTAATTGACTGTTTTTTTGTCGTTTCTCTCATGCGCTTACTTGGTCGACCATGCAGATCACTCAAAGTAAGGATATCAGGGCCCAACAGAACTTCTGATAACTAGCTCTTCTATATGCAGACTTCTAGGGACCGATGCAATCACTATCAAAGTTACTTTACACAAATTTACTTTATTTTGAGCACATTTTCACTCATAGATCTCGACTAACCTGAGACATGGACTTTTGAAGTGGACAAAAGTTTAGTGACAACTCACTATTTAAGGATGGCAAGATTCAGAAATTCTTAATGGAAAGAGTAATCAAGTTGAAACATGTGCTGTACTACAAGAAGTCCCCTTCGAAACTCCGTGTCTCAGGTTAGTCGAGATCTATGAGTGAAAATGTGCTCAAAAAAAAATAAATTTGTGTAAAGTAACCATGATAATGATTGCTGGGTCCCTAAAAGTCTGCATATAGAAGAGCTGGCTATCAGAAGTTGTGTTGGGCCCTGATATCCTTATTTGAGTGATCTGCAAAGGTCGACCAAGTAAGCGCATGAGAGAAAAGACAAAAAAACAGTCAATTAAAGGGATAAATATGCCGCAATAGACATGTTATAGGCTCCAGAAGAAAAAATTGTGGCGGGCCATCCAAACCCTCTAAGGAGTATGCACCAATAGTAAAAGGAAAAAAAAAAAGAGTTAGGCCAAAATCCATGATGACGTATTTTCAGAACGGTGAATTTTTTCAAATTTTTACCAAAATTCACCATTTTTACTACTCTTAAAACCTCCCAGATGGTTCTTTTAAAAAACTTTTAAAAGCTTTTCCCCCCATTCCTAAACCCTAAAGAACACCTAAAAAAAAAATTTTTAAAAAAAAATTTTGTTTTTAACTATTTTTAAAAAATTTTAAAACCATAAAAATGGTGCAAAACCCAAAACCCTCAAATTTTTTTCAAAAAAATTTACATGGTGAGTCAGGGGCCGATACCGAATCGATTGATACCCTTAGGTCGAAATCCGAGGACCTCGATTCCAACCCCTCGTTGGTTCACGTGGGGAAAGTCCCAGAGACCTTTTCAACGAATGGTCGGAACCTAGGTCTAAAATGCTCGCATCGTCATCGGGGACCCTGTGAGGTGCCCATCCACGTCCTCGGTACGGGGACCCAACGGTGACCTATGAGGCTTTGACCATGCCGTCCAGATGTGGCATTGGCCGCTAGGCCCAAAAAGAGAGATTTAACACAAAAAACAACAGTGAGCTCCGTCTTTTAAAAAACGGAGATCACTGTGGTTTGGGTACAGAGCGACGCTGTGAAAAAATTAACAGGATTCTCTGTAGTTTTTTCTCGCAGTTGAGTACCGGTGATACACTGAACAAAACTTATTAGTTTCAAAATTATCAACGTCTATAGAGAAAAATTTGGCGTTTTCGACAATACGAAACGTCAAATCGGCCAAGTAGGAAGCGAATGACGCTATTTTAAAAATGTGAGTACACTGAACAAAAAAAATTGAACACATGAGAAAAATTGTGATTTCCCCCTCACCAAAGGTTATCAAAACCAGATCGCGTTTGGGCCTTCTAGATTTTTACAATAGCACGTTGCACGGGTTGCGATAAGTCACATCGCAGCTGCCTCACGCGTGAAGCTATCACTGCAGTGCTGACTGCATGAAAACTTAAAAAAGATCGAATTGATAAACTGATTTGGCGGTACGGGCTCGCGATCCATGGTCTTGTACCCCCCATCCATGTTCGGAACTTTACCCTCATCAAAGTTTCATACCTTGGTGCCGTTGCCCAGGGCCTTGAGCACAGCCTCGATGTGCTTGTCCTTCTTCACGTCGCAGAAAAAGTCGTCTTCCTTGCGGGTCCGCATGAGGGGGTCAGCGACAGCCGGGGGGATGCGCGTCGCCGCCGCCACCGCCGCGGCGAACTCCTCGTCTCGGAAGCGCACGTACTTGACGCGGGCCGTCCCCGGCTGCGCCTGAAAATTAGGTTTCATTACTTAAGTGAAACAAGATAAATTTAAACAGAGAAGTTGGAAAGTTCATGCGTTAGAACTGAGCATTTTTTTTTTCAGAACACGCTAAAAACACTAGCAAAACCAAAGTGTTAATGGATGCTGTACTCAAGCATTCAGTAACGCAAGCCTTACTCAAGCATTTAGTAACGCAAGGGGCATTCCACGTCAAACCATCATGGTCCAAAACGCACTTGCTCAGATCCGGCTCCCAATGTTTTCTATCATAGGCAATCGTAGGCCTCAACTCGTGTAATGCTTACCATCACCTCGAAATGGTTCCAGAGAGTTAAGACAGACACTAGGACAACATTTTAATGCAGGGGGCAAAAATGGGTGTCAAATAGTCAATTTTTGACGATCCACTAAGATAACTTAAAGAGTTTTTTGACAATATCTCTCATGTTTAAGGATTGCCGTCCCCAATATTTTGCTGGCAGTTAGAGTACCCCCTAGGGCCCTTTGATACCAATATTGTCAAAAAGTAAGATGGCGTATTTTGGGAAATCAAAAAACCGTTGTTTATAGTCAAAAACGCCCTTTTAGGCAAAGACTGAGGGCCCCAACCTTGTTTCTCACTTTATTATGTTGCCATTTACTGTTTTCAACCCATTTGAGCGCCTAAAAACACAATTTTTGAAAAACTAAAAAAAAAAGTTTTGAAATTTTTTTGAAATTTTAAAAGATCGCCACGGCCAAAGTTCTGCATATTTTTTCAAAAAAATTTACATGAGTGGTCCTTGAGCGGTAGGCTATGATAGAAAACGTTGGGAGCCGGATCTGAGCAAGTGCGTTTTGGACCATGATGGTTTGACGTGGAATGCCCCGCAAGCCTATGTTACGCTTGTAAAGTAGAATACACACACTCAAGGTGAGGTTCTACTAAAATTATTGCACTTTTGAAATTGAGCCCCAGGTAAAAATTTAATGCACAAAGGTAGTACTACAAAGGTAACTGGCTTTCACTAAGTTAAGAGCCCAGTAACTTTCTCCAAATCCAACTTTTTTCAGAAATATCTCTGAAAGTTCTCCTGCGCCAAGCATTTTGAAGAAAACTACTCACATGCAACAAACTATCATTTCACGGAGACATTGAACACAACAAATTAATATTGGCATTGTTTTTCAGAAAATAGTGACTAAAATATTAGGATTCAATTATATTGAAATTTTGGAAAAATGCTGTCATAAAATCACAGCTTACAATTATGTTGTGGTCCCAGGGTCTTAACAATACAACGGTTCAGAAAATGAACCAAAGACGTGAAAAATGCCCACACTAACAGTTTACGGTGAAATGTTTGAGTAGGTGACATTTAAAATTGGCGACTGTGGTTAGAGTAGAATTCCTCTTGGACTGGATTTTGGGCTAGGCATTGCTCTCCAAACTTCATGTTTTACAGTTTACAATAAAATAATCCAAAATTATAATGAACTTTCATTGTGAATCTCAGTTTCAAGAAAGTAAGATTTTCAGAAGTAACTGCCAGGGACAGTTTGGTTACTTGACAACGCTTTACCTTGTAACGGAACCGAACAACCAACTGGGTTTGGGACTGACTGGGTGGACTGCGTCAAGGAACTAGCAAGTGCCTCTAAGTATAATTGTTGTCCACACTAAGATTTCAAATTTTTAACAAGTCATTGCATTGAGACCAACATCAACGAAATAAGAACTCCTCACCAGACATAAAATAATCTCGTTGTCCACAGGAGTCATGGGAAGATACAACCACGAGGTACCGTAAACCGGGGTAACTTGAGACAATATTTCACGTTTTTTGGACCGTGTGTTCACAACACTTTTCTCACCAACCCGAATCCCAACTATGTTTAATTTCACATGATTACATTCGGTTTGGACCCCATGAACTTTTTGGGGGTCACCTATAATGAGAGTAATGGGTCTCAAAAGTTGTCTCAAGTTACCCCGTCATTTGGGGTAACTTGAGACACACCTAGTTTTTACGTTGAATTTTTTCAGAAGTGGGGTTTTTGCCAGTCCTTACTGATTTTCTTAGTCATTTAACTTATTTTCAATGAAAAGTACTACTTGTGGAATATATTAGAAGATTTTTAAACCTCATGTTAAGATTATTTCATCAAAGTTACATTTCCTAATTTGAGGGATAACGGCACTTCAGAAGCGCAACGATTCTCCCACTTCACATCCAACTCTGTCAACTCAGTACAGCGATTTTCTCATTTCACATTCAACCGTGACACCTGACAACCCTGACATTTTTCTTTATTTCTACGTACACAAGTCCATTCCTGCAAAGGTATATAGTCTTGGTCAATTTTTAAAATTTACTCAAAATCCTTAAATATTTTTACAGTTGTTTTTCTTCAAAAAATTGACGGTTCTTGGGCTAGAAGTTGTCCGATTTCAATGACATTTAGCTCGTTGGAAAGGGTTTTAAATTTAAATTTCCCCCTCTTTTGAGACTTCAAGATTTTTTCTGTCGTATCTGGTCCGTGGGGAGTTGAGGGAAAAAACCCCCCAACTTAAAGCTGTATGTAAACTTGGGACCCTCTACACTGTCTAAAAAGTGATTCCCGATCAAATGCGGCTTGGTTTTGATCTTAGAACGGAGAGGTCCGTTACTCTAAACCCCCCTGTAGCCCAAAGGGGGTGCCAGTGTCAAGTTCCGCCACTCAAATTCCATCAAATTCAATGAAATTTTGGGGTCTCAAGTTTCCCCCCACAGTAACGATTTTCTAAAAAAGTCATATTAAGGGGGGGTTCTGGGGAAAAACTTGCTATTTTTCCCAAAAGGATCCTACAGTCATAATTTGTTCGGAAAATAAAATTTTTTATTGAGGAGACTAAAATTTGACTTTTGAAGGCACATGCCACGCTGTAAACCCAGTCGAAAAGTCTTTTTTAGCCTATTTTGGCTGTATCTTAAAAAATCTCCCTTTCGCATACTATTTTTCGTTTAAAAAGGGTTTACCTTGACATTTTTTACTTCTTCGACTCATTTTCAAAAGATTCGGCATGCAGAGCTCAAAACTTCCATATATTATTAGTTATTAGCTTTTAAAGCTGAAAAGTCCCTAAAATTTTTTCTATTTTGTAAATTTTTTATCAATTATGGTGAAATGCTTGGTTAGAACGCTTGCGAATAAAAAAGCAATTGACATTTTTAGATGTGCATGCCGGCATTTTAAAAAAAAGAGTCGGAAAAAATTAAAAAAGTCTAAGCCAAACCCTTTTTCGACAAATAGTATGCGCAAGAAGATTTTTTAAAATTATAGCCTAAAGGGAGAAAAAGGCTCTGGGACTGGGGTTTAGGGCATAGAATGTGCCTACCCCAAAGAAAATTTTTTAAAAAATACTTAATAAGACATCAAATTTTTAACAAATTTTCACAGTGGGGCCTATTTGGAGAAGATAGCATTTTCACCAGAACCTCCCCTTTAAAGGGGGGGCCCTGGTGAAAAATCGCCAAAAAATTTCCCAAAAAAAAAGGGATTTTCAAAGTTCATAGATAAAAAAGTGTATAGAAGGTTTCAGATTCAACAGGTTGAACACCTTTAAACTAAGTGGGTAGTTTCTTTATCATTTTGGGAAAGGGAAAAAACATTGAGATCAGTTGTCGTTGGCTTCTACGCTCAACTTCACAGCTTTGCTCAGTCGACAAAAAATTTTTTCGTAGAAAGACTTCCTGCGTTCCTGGGTTTACACCTACATGAGTCGTCTTGCATGGACTCTATTCATTGGGTGGGCTTGTCGACAATTTTTTGTGACGGAATCTTGAAATCAGCCCTACTTTTTTTTAAAAACACCTAAAAGTTTGAAAAAAGGGAAAAAAATCACTTTTTTTTTTAAAGTTAAATTTGAAAACTCATATCTCAGGACAGAAGTTGAATTTGAAAATTCCGTCACTAAAATCTCTTCTATACATCTTTAGGATAACCTAAAAAAATTTTCAAGACTTTCCGTCCCAATGAAAGACGCAGGAAGATTTTTCCCCAACGCTCCAAAAAACACTAAAAAGCCACTTTTCTCAGAGACCGTTCAACATTTTGGATTGAATTTTGTTTTGGGAACTCACCATAATGAACCTAATAACTAAGCAAAGATTCAACTTGCTGGGATTATTTTGAAGCCTACTTGAAAGTTTCACCAGGGTCCCCCCTTAACCGATGAATGATGGGTTTCCCTCAAAACCAATGCTACATTTAGAATGTCGAAATAATAGGGTTGAAAGATACTACAGTCATTTGGGTCTCAACAAGACGTGTTTCGAGTACCAAGGGAGACTTGTAACACTTCTCTAAAATTGTCTAAATTTACTAAAATTGAAAAATCGTTATAGAACTGACCAGCTTGGTCCTAACCCGCCGTTCAAACGCTTAATCGTCTTTCCAAACTAGTATGAAAAAAAGTGCTGGGGCAGTTTTGACCTCCGAATGTGCCGAGCCAGGTGGCAGCTCCAAAAAGGTGGAAAAGCAGAAGTGTCTCAAGTTACCCTTGCTGTCTCAAGTTACCCCGGTTTACGGTACAACATACTAAATGTTACAATAGAGATGGATTACGACACACTATAGTTTTTAAAGCAGATGATTTTTGCCAACAACTTAATACCTGATTTAGACCAAAATAGAGAGAGATGTGCAGTTTTTGTACGAAAATTGTATGCTATCTTTTCATTGACACAAATAACAGTGACGTCTAGTGCGTAAATTGAACATAACATTTAGACAGGCACGTCTTACGCATTGAATGTCGTACAATATGTCCCAGTCATTCCACAAAACTTTATTCTAGAGCAAAAACACTCAAAAATTTGTACAGAAAGGTCATCTGCAGAAAAATGGAACATCGTACAAAAACAGTCAATGTGTACGGACACTTTGGAAACCTTACAAACTACTTTAGGCCTTTCAAAGAAAACCGTCTTTAAAAAGCAAAGTAAATTGAGCATACATAAGGTAAGAAAGAAAATACTTCACAATTTGCGAACTATTTCTTCATACGGAAAAGTAAATTTAATTGTGCTTTGTATGCACTCTAAGCACTTTACTAACTCTTTGTTCATTTTGTCAGTACTTACGCAAGTAATTGGTGCAACCTTAATACGTACTTTTTCTTTTTAAAACAACCACTTAAGAAATATTAAATAATGTACTGACAACTTGGTTTTGTACATAATTCGGCAAAGGGTATTTAGACCTTCTGACTTAGGAATTACCAAGTATTATTGATGCTTTTACGTTACGTTCAGTTAAATTACCAAGAATTATTGATGCTTTAGCGTATTTAATGAGAAAAAAAAGTTAGGAACGTGCTGAGTGTGAGCTCAAAGTACTTCGCAAGGTTTTAAGCGTATTTATAGAAAGGTCAGTAAACAAGGTTGAAGCAGGCGCATGGACTCACCTGCTCTGCCTCGTCTTCGCTGCTGCTGCTCTCCACGGCGTTCCACACGTACACCATCTCGTTCATCTCGTGGTCCGTGTCCGAATCGTCCTCGTCGGAGTCCTCGTCGGAGGAGCGGTCGAGCCGCGCCTCGCCAAACTTCAGGTCGCTGACGCCGCCCATCTTGGCGGCCATGCCGGACAGGGCGCGGCGCGCGAAGCCGTCCAGGTCGTCTCCGGGACTCTCCTCGCCACTGTCGGAGTCGTGGCTGTCACTGCGCAGCAAATTGAAATTGCAACACACACTAGTCAACTATGGACCTCTTTGCCGTTCGCACGGTGGCTAAACGCTTATCCCACACAGAAAAAAGTCTGCAAGGCATCGCTTCGAACTAACAAATCGAAGGCATTGTGAAATTCACGACACATTGCTTTGTATCATACAGCAAAGAACTTCGTGATGCGAAGCATTACTTCACGGTACGAAGCAATTTTGCAATGCATTCTGCTTTTTCTTTCAAGCTACAAAGCAAATGACTCCGTAGGCATTCCAGTGTAGGTGCGACCTGCTGGGCGACACACGATGTCTTTTTTGGAACGCGAAATGTTGAGAACAATTTTGTACTAGACATCATAGATTTTACTGCTCACTAACTTTTCGTACATTTTTGGTACGAAAAACTGTACAAGGTCGCCTATTTTTGCCACATTGCGTACAAATTTGTACGAAAAGTTGCGTGTGCAGAAAAAACTGGGATGTCCTGTACAAAATTTGTACAAAACCATTTAGAGTGCGGGACACGTTTCGAAAAGTAACACGAAGCCGACAATAGGCCTATTTCCAGGAAATTTACAATCAGCTCGCTTACTGTCCTCGATTATTGGTAGAGAGTCGCCTACAATCCCACCAATGCGTCGCACACTTGAAGCACCTTCTTTTATGCATCTAAGGGCTTTCACTGTTGCTTGAAGGTGTCAACGGCTAAAGGCCAAAAGGGACCGAAATGGACAGGAGCCAAAGAAAGTCTAGGGAAGTGCATGAGTTGTGTCCTGAGGAAATAAGGAACCTGCGAATTATTCATGATAAAATGATGCTGGAGTCCTGGTGATGTCAAGGTCTGTAGCTTAAGTGGAACATTCAGAGCTGAATGCAGCTAATGCAAAAGGTTTTTAGATCGCATTGTTGCAATCGCCAACCTTACACAACAACTCAACGCTGAAGCTAAAGCATTGCCTTCCTAGTTTACACGGTTCCAGAGTACGGCACAATACTTGCAACCACACTGTTGTGCCCATTGTGAACGCACACCTGGATTCGTTATGCTCACGTGCTTGCTTCAGCGTCAGGTAGGGTCGTGAAGCCAAGGGCTCCAGGTAAGTTTTTGCAAGCTTGCTATCACGATTGAGCAGGAAATTTGTTAAAACGGAATAAGTCTGTAGAAGGATGTCAAATACTTCAAAAGGTTGAACACATCTGTAAAGTACACTACCAGCCTGAAATATTTGACACGGAACATCATCAAGCTCGACTAAAGCATGTTACAACACGCGTTAGAGAATACTTGCCACAAAGTTCGGGAGCCCCACTGCCTATTGCTTTGCGAGCCTGCTTAGCGTTGAGTAACGTTCTAGCCAGGTTGCTCCAGGAAGTTCCTGCAAGCACAAAGATTAAGCTGAGAGTAAAGCAACTAGTCTTCAGATACTGGACATGCTCAAAATATTTAAGGTTTAAAATGACTAAAGTGAAACTAGCATGTCACGTAGAAATATTGCCGAAAGTTCACTGTGACAAACATTTTCAACCGCCTTTAGATGAATTTATTCTTCCATGTTGTGAGGTTAGCGCCAACTGGCTTTATTTTGAGTTATCGCGGTTGACGTAACAGTGGCCCAGATTATTTACGACAAAAGATAAGCTCAGCATAAGCTACCCTGTCTTCAGATTCTGACTATTGCATCAATATTTGGAAAAGTAATAGTGGTCACAGATTAGAAAATATCTGTCCAGAAGAGACTGTACAAACTATTTTCCCAGGCCTATTATTATTTTTCTTTCCATTTGTGAGGTTTATGGCCATATTGGTCTTTTATTTTGGTTATTCCGGATAACAATGGCAGATATTTAAAAAAGAGGCAACACCATCTTTTTCCTGTTCAAGAATAGGTATAATTGCCAGAATCTGAAGACTGGGTAGCCAATCCTATGTCATGAGGAGAACTTGAGAGACACAACTTCACGTAAAAAGTTTACGTAAAACTCCATAACAGAAACTAATACAAGTTGAGCCCATAACTTTTAGTGAATGAGTTTCTGCAACAGAAAGCAACTTTCACCGGCCTATAAATTGGGATAACAGACACAAATATTTAAGGGGGGACATCACTCCAAAATGATCAAAAATTGCAATTTTTTTTTATTTGTTAATATTGTGGATCATTCTTTTCTGCGTCGAATGGCGAAAACCGCATTCCGAAATTCAAAAACTGCAGTTTTAGGAGGTTGTGGCCGCAGACATGCATAGGGGAAAAGCCAGTTTCCCAACTTTGATCGCTTTTTCTCGGAACATGAAATTGCAAACGGTTGCAGGCCTCGAGGGCGCAGTTTTTTGAGCTACAGCGGGGAGATTTAGCATGGAAGCTCCTACGACATGCCGCTATGGTGGGTAGCAAAATAATTTGCATTGGTCAATTTTTATTATTTTTTAACGTTCAAAATTGAACAATTTTGACCCAAAAAAATTGAACAATATTTTTTGGCATGAAACAAATACAACTTAAAATAATTTTTTAAATGTGATGAGGTACCCACCATAGCCAGACATCTCAGGAAGGCTGTCACCAAATTACGTTGTTACTAGGTCAAACCGTTTGGCGTCCAGCGCTGCAACCGTGCGAAATTGGTCTAGCCTAACACTCAAAAATCGTTTTCAACGAAAGCGCTGTACTGCCATGGCGGATTGACTTAGTGTGTTTTAATGCTTTATCTGTCAAATATGAACAATTTTTCTTTTCCGTTTGGTTTTTGTGGCGTTTTTGACAAAAGCACTGTTTTTGGAGTGATGCCCCCCCTTAAGAAAGGTCAGCCCCTTTGTTCACTATGAAGCGTGCACAAAATCTGTTACAAATAACACGCCTAGTTCATTCTCTAAACCCCCCAAAACAGTTTCATTTCCTGGCTTCTTAAGGAGAGAATAGTTACGGATTCGGCCATTTCAATATACCTGGAGTCCTCGTCGTCGTCATCACTATCATCGTCGTCTCCACCGAAACCGAGCCGCTGCGCGGTCTTCTTCTTGTCGCGCTTCTCCAGCGCCTTCGCAAGCGTGCCGTAGAACTTCATGAAGTCGCCCATCACGCCGGGGTTCGTCACCAGCTTGCCCAGGAACGTGTCGCCCATGTTGCCCCCCGACGACGAGGCGCCTCTCCCCCTGGCAGCGGCGCGGCGGCCTCCGCGCGCCCTGCTGGACGACGCCCTCGCGGACGGCGCGCCGCGACTGGAGCCCCGGGACGGACCGGCCTTGCCCTCCACGGCGGGATGCTTCTTGGGCGGCATGGCGATCTGGAACAGAATAACATGAAATGCTTCCATCCGGCTAATCATGTGTACACCGCACTGTTAAAAAAAAGCCGTGCATTTCAAAGAAAAAGGTACGGCTAGACCGTACCTCACGGTGTACAGAACAACTGAACCCAAAAACCGTGGCAGGGTTCCCACCAGATTTCCTTTTTCGTTTTCCCTGACTTTTCCCTGATATCCAGTGCAAAAATTACCTATTTACCCTGACATTATTTTCAAAATATATGTGCAGTTCCAGAGTCAATTGCATGCAGCTTCCACACGTGCGGCGTTCAAAATCCATACCTTGACGAACTTTTCAAATTTTCCCTGACCAAAATCGAATTTCCCTAACTTACCCTGACTTCCAGTGCCCATTTTATTTCCCCTGACTTTTCCATGACTTCCCTGATTTCCCTGACCGGTGTGAACCCTGTGTGGTTCCCAAAGAGCCCATGTTTAAAAAAACCGTACACCGTACCCGAAAGCCGTACTGGCTGAGGTACGGTGGTACCAGGCAAATTATGTACCAGACTGTGTGTGCCTTTTCCCTTTTCCCGCCTTTTCCTACGGTGCGATAGGCACTCGTACCAGGAACGTGATTCATCGTTAAAATGAAATGAATGTGACAGGATGTCACGATCCTTTGAGCATTGTGTCTGTGTCACGTTGGTTTGGACGTGAATCAGCCATAAATTAGCTTAGTCAACGAACGTGGCACAATGCTCAAAGGAGCGTGACAGTTTGTCACATTCGTTTCAACGTGATGTCACGTTCCTGGAATAGAGTAGTTGAGCTAACGCCGGACAAGAAGAGAAGAAAGGAAGAAAAATGCTTCAAGAACATGGCCGCCAGGGCTTTGTCGGCTGCTAGGCCAAATCGGACCTCCGGCGGCCATATTCTTGAAGCATTTCTTCCTTTCTTCTTTTTGTCCGGCGTTAGCTCAACAACTCTATGAGAGTGGGTATCGCGGAGAAGACCCACACCGGAAGTAAAATTGTGCTAAGGGAAACTTGAGCAGTAGGGTGGCTGTCGGGGGTTGCTTGTCAGTGACTTCTGAATCCCAAGACTTCACTTCCGGTTCACGAAAGAGACTACACCAGCGTCGAAGATCCCTCACTCGGAAAAATCTACGTAGCATCAGCTTTGTAGCTGCATAGTAAATGAAGCCTCGTAGGAATGCCTCACAGTACGAAGGATTTTTAAAAAGCATTACCGAGGAGATTTTGAAAAGCCTTTTGAATTTCTTCGCAATACAAAGCGATACTTCGCCGACGTTTTCGCTGTGCGCGATAAACAAATGCACCAAAAACTGGGTCACTCCAGCCAATGAGACGCAGTCTTTCCGTAAGTGTGGGCGCTACTAGTGGTGAAAAGGCAGCTTCACATCGGGCCCAAGCGACAGGACTTCCGGTCCACGTATTTCTCCGAGGGATTGAAGAGCAGCGCGAGCCCAAATTTATCCCCAGTCCACTATTCACTGAAAGATATTCATAAAGACAGAATACTTTCATCACCGTGCGGTAATACCGGCAGAGAGAAAAACCCACTGTAAGCCCTACTGAAGCGGAAGACAAAAATCAAAGGATACCGTGAAGTGCGATAAGAAAAACTTTCACTCGTGGCAGGCAAGCTAGCTACACTGTAATAACATCTACGAAGAATCGCCTCATGACACGAAGGCAATGTGAAATCTGCGAACGCACTAAATGTCAAGGGAAATTTTTGGTCCCATGAATGGTGCAATTTCTAGCACATCCGACGCTGGTACTATGATTTTCAAAAGATCGGGCCCCGGGCCCGGGCCGGGGTCGGCGATACCCCGCGCCCCGGCGGTGCTGAAGACGCGCGGACAGGGAGGGGAAAACGGTCGGTCGCCGGGGCCCCCTTGTTTCCAAACTATAATGCGAGTGCACAATAGCTTTATGAGTGAATGAAACCTCGACCCGACCCTGGTCTGGGGGCCGCAGAGCCCGAGCAGCTCTGCTCACCCGCCGGGGGGTGCGATTTTCACAAGTTCATTTTTGTGTAAAAAAAACTAATTTTGACAACGCTACCAGAAAGCATCTCGAGATAGCTGATTATTTATTAAAAGGTTTCATGAACTTTTCTTTCTTTATGAAAATAATCCTAGAAAATTTATTTTTATATGCATAGATCGGGAATTTAGTTTCCCAAAACATTGGTCAACATTTCAAACATGTCAAGCAACGCCCTGGAAATTTTCATTCCAAAACAGCTGAGTCACCACCTGGCTATTGTTTCGAGGGCCCCTTTCACTCCGAGCTGCACCGCTGCGAGGTGCTGACACGCAGATTTATTGCCCCTCGACCCAAACAAAATTTTTCGAACAACCCCAATTTTTTGGGTTTTTAATGAGGGAAATGGGTTCCTTGCAAAGTTGCGGGCCGTCATATGTTTAAAATTTTTTTCTACGCCAATTTTAACCGAAATTTTTTGGCCAAAACCCGGGTTTCCTCCAGCCCGCTCCGGGTTCCCGGGGCCCCCGGGGGCCCAGGCCCGGCCTTTTGCACTTGGTCACGCTGGCCCCCCCCCCTCCCTCTCTCGGCACGTGCAGTTTTTTAGTTTGAAACAGCGCAGCCCTGCGTCGATCCATCTGCCGAGGAGCCCGTCCGTCTTCGGCAGTCGTCTGGGCGCGGGGTAGCGCCGGGCCCGGTCGGCCGGGCTCGATTCTTTTGCAACTCATAGTACTACGACTTTGAGTACGCCAGGCGGGGCAAATTGTCTCATGAAGGTAAAATTTGAGTAGTCGTCAGACAAAAAATGTCGCCAGGCGAGCACAATATTATATCACGGTCCGATGAGCTTAAAATTGCATCATTCATGGAGCATGACGATTAGTGTGAAGAAACGCTTCGTAATATGAGGCGAAATCCTTCGTAGTATGAAGTAATTTTGAAGTAGCGCGTACGCTATTTTCAGTATCGCAACTATTTCAGTGACACATCGCGACTCACCCTCACAAAATACAGGTGTGCGCTCACACAAGATCAAGTGAGATGTGCTACCATCAGGGATTTTCATGGGTGAACGCTAAAATAAACGTACACGCGTGAAAAACGGTACCTGGTTTTCCAGGAAGCCTATGGTAAAGACATAGGCGATTTCCAGCGAGTTCCTGGGAAAACCAGGAACCGTTTCCACCGTGTAGGTGGGCCATTGCCACGATTCAGAATCACTACTCACCGAACTAGCCGGAGCCAAAAGTGTAGTCAGTAAGTACTGTTCCAAATAACCTCTCAGCAGGACCGGGGAAACGCGGGACTGGTGCGGGCGGACGGACTTCCGAGGCAGAGGCGACAAATGAAACGCTGGCGTGAAGGGCCTCGTTTGCCTGCCTAGCCCATACAGAGATACTGATACTTGAACCGGAAGATAAGAACGGACGACACACAGAAATCATAAGAAGCACCACTTCGGCGGCATTATAAAATCTGCGATGAATGCTAAGAATTACGGGGCAAAATCCTTCGAGATACGAAGCATTGTTTCATGTAACACGAAAATTTCGGCAGTGGCTCTGCGGAGGTGGTAGAACGTCGACACAGACCCTCACATTTGTTCTACTGAACTTCGTGATCACTTCCGTTCCAAGTTACAATCGACGTACATTAGGGCATATTGGCGAATCCCTTGACCGGAAGTTACAGAACCAACGGCGAAACCGCTTCCCCGCGTGCACAGACGTACCCCCAGCAGTCTGACTTAACGCCTGCGCACTCGCAGAGGTGGCTGATCTGTGACTTCCGGTTCAGGGATTCGTGAAAATATTAATTTGCGGTCTCGGAGAAGATTAAGACCGGAAACCGCGCGATGCCCTCTTGTTTCAACCGATTACCTCACGACTTCCCGTCAGTTCCTTCTCCGACAACTCGGTGACTTTCGTAACATGTAAAGTTTGTAAAGTGATTGCGCTTTTACGAATGACGTACTAAGAAGTTGTAGGATTGTCCGAAACTTGAGACCAAAAGTAACAAAGCTGAATTGTTAGAACCTTCCGCTGAGAGTTGAATTCACTTCCATTCGATAGGCTTCATTTCGGTCCGCTTCGCCCTTCAGATCAACGACTTGACTCAGGATAACAGTAAAATTTTCCAAAATTGCCTGTCAGTCTGAGCACGCTGGTCGAGAGTGCACGCCACTTACCTACGACGCTGTCGTCCGAGCTCACGGCCACAGCGTACCGCTGACACAGGCGCTCACACACGGACTGCGTATCAGGGCAGTAAAGTGACGCTGCGACGCCAGCAAGATGGATGATGCGGGACCGACTGCCGGACCGGACGGACGGGACGACTGCACCGGACTGAAGCCACAAGGTGTGGTGGTGCGTGGCGTGCCTTGCAGGCTTGCCAGTGTGCCAGGGTTGCCGATGCAAGGCCGACTGAGCTAGTCCGCTACCAGAGCGCGCTGCGATCGCCACTGGGCGCCACCGCAGCGCTGACGTCGCCACGCTGGGGTCGCCGCCGTGGAAGCTGCCCCTCTGCCGACCCGGGGAGGGGAGCAGGGAAAAGTCCCTAATCCGGCGGCCGAGCGGCGAGCACCGCACACTGCCTCTGTTTCCGGGAACGCGCACCACCGCTGCGCAGCTCAGCACACCCATCGCTCCTGCAGACACCCCAGGCATCTCCTTCCTGGGAAGGGATTTCTCTGAAATGGGGTCCGTCGTCGCCGGGTGAACTCGGGTCAACAAACGTACGAGAGAGGTGCCCTGCACAGAAGACCGGTGGAGGCGGCCAAAACTCGAGTCGCGTTTTAAGCTCCAGAGTCGTTGGGACTCGAACCGAACATGTGACCCCACCAGTGGATTGCTCTCCGAACGAGGAATCCAATGTCACTCGCTCGTTTCGAGTCCCATTTAGCGACTCTGGAGCTCAAAACGCGTCTAGAGTTTTGGCCGCCAGTCTTCTGGCCCACTGTGCCCTGCGGGGTAAGGTCATATTCGAGGGATCCTATTCAAAAGATCTTATCTGCGCGTTCCCCCCAAGACAATCTTATCTTAAACGCATGCGGATTTCACCCAGTTTGACCAGTTGCGACACGTACGAGAGTAAGCGGAATATATTTTTACATGTACTTTTGGTTTCTTTGATCTTTCATCTCCACATTTCAGTGAATTTTATCACAAATGATATTGATTTGTAGCTGTATTAAATGATCAAACTGAGTGAAATTCGCCTGCGTTTAAGATAAGATTGTCTTGGGGGGGAACGCGCAGATAAGATCGTTTGAATAGGACCCGACCCGAGGGGGTAACCACTTCAAGAAATCGTGTACAGACTACTCGGTATTACGCTGTACTACAGGGGTATTACACGTGTATTACGTCCTTAAAATGCCAAAATATGGCACATTTAACCAAAAAAGGATATTACGATCACGTGTATTACGCGTAATACACGGTTTTTGTGTACAGGGTATTACGCGAATGTTTACCCCCTCGATAGGACCCCTCGAATATGGAAGATAGGTCGGCGCAACCGAGATGCATGCTGGGAGACCGGGCAGCTAATCCCTCCCGAATCCGTCGCCGGGTGCAACGGAGGGCCGCCTACCTGCCTGCCTGCCGGCTTGCCCGGTCTCCCGGCATGCATCTCGGTTGCGCCGACCTATCTTCCATATGACCTTACTGCTGGGTCCCTGGCCACCGATCCCCGAATGCATCACCGTCCCGGGGGGATTGGCCGCAGGGAACCTCTCTCGCACGCTTGTTGACCTGAGCTCGGACGGCAACGGACCCCATTCCGGAGAAATCCTGTGCATGGAAGGAGATTTTAGCGGTGGTACTAACACACTGTACGAAGCCTCTGGCCCGAGGCCGTTTCCGCTGCGGTCGGAGGGAGAGACCTAAGAGCGCCCGATCTGGCAAACCGGGGGACCTTGCTATCAAAGCCCGGACTTCACAGTAAAACATCTACGAAGAACCGCCTCGTAAAACGAAGAAAATGAAGGCATTGTAAAATCTACGAAGAAATGCATCGTATTAGGAAGCAAAATCCTTCGTCATACGAAGCATTTCTTCAAGCAAGCAATTCTACAACTCCTTCATTTTCTTCGTAGTTATGAAGCAATCGCTTTGCTGTTAAGAGTGTAGGCATCTTGGCTGGCTGGTCCGGCTGGTGACCAGTCGGCCGCTGTCTGGACCCGCACGGTAACCGAAAATGTCGGATTCCGAATCGCCGAAAGTGCCCATTTTTTCGTTTTCGAGGAGGCGGCTCGCGTCCGGCGCGCAAAATCCGCCTTTGGCCGTTCTGGACCGCCTCCCGAGCCGCGCGCTCGGAAACCGAGGTGACGCGGCTGCGGGGTGTGGAGCGGCGTAGCGGACGGTTGCCGGGGCGTGGAATAGCGTAGTATCCCTAGCACTGTACTATCCCTCGCCTACCCTAGAGCCCTGGAGTGGAGAGAGACGCCACCGGGATCCAGGCTTGTGAGCGCATCATTTCTCATACTTTGCCGTCTTGACGAAAAAGAGCAGCGCGCGATTTCTCATAGAGGGTGCGGGGTGAGGAGGGGAAGAGGATGGGGAGAGTAGCAGCAGCAGAGCAGAAAGATCACATGTGGCGAGGATTCGGAAAGCAGAGCAACAGGCCAAAATTTTGTCTATTTCGGAACAATTGTTTTTAATGTTAATGGGAAGCGATGAACACCAAAAATGGAATGATAAGAATCTTGAGATTATGATGTGGCAAAGCATGTATTAGAAGTTATAATAACTCGCATTTCTGCGGTTAGGGGAGGAAAAGACGAGCATTTCAGGACATCACCAACCCCACAAATATCCCGAACACCCCTCGTCTAATTTATGTGACTAAAAGGCCTCGTAGTCGTGAATTCGCCGAGACCCCTCAAGTTGTAGAAACTGCAGACAGACCTGGCGATGACTTTTTCGTTCCTGATGAATCAAGTGGTGAATTCATGAGACCACCAACCCATGCCCATTCCTTCAAGCCTTGTGTAAGTTGATAATATAATTAAAACTGCACACTCATTTGATGTAAGTGGTTGATTTATTTCTTTGTGTTATTTTCCAGGCTATTTCAACACCACTTTTCTCTAATACTACTGATGAGAACACTCCAAGTCTGCATTGTGTAAGTCAATAATATTACAATTTAATTGCTCACTAATGTATACAAGGTAGGTTTACGCCAGACCGCGTCTTGTCGTAACAGGCTTCGCGATGTCTCGCGGCCTGTTCCTCCAATCCGCGCCTCACTGGTAGAACTCAAGGCGTAGCTATTCACGGCTTTCTGTCAGTTAGCGTTCACTGTGATCTCGCTCAGTGTTCACGTATGCCACATAAAGGTTTGGAGCCTGATTTGCACCTTCGGTCTCGCGGCGTCTATCTAAGTGTTTATGGGAACATATCACTGAACACGCTTGACAGGATCAAGGTAAATCGCGTGCAACCGTAAGCTTGAATGCCTTGAAAATGCATACAATACGGCTTCAGGTTTTAGGTGATGGTCCGCACCGTCACCCAATCGGCCTGCGGCACCTAGCCTGGCCTTCGCGCTAGCCTATTCAGGCTTGGCTTGTCCATCGTCGGTTACTTCTTACTTGATGCATGCGGGGGGGCTCCGCCCATTTTAGTTTGTTATACGTATGCTCAAAATACTTGGTAAGGTTTTAAGAGTGTGATCTGCCTGCAAAAACCTTGGTTTTCGCCGTTTTTTGGGTGTTTTTCGGCTATAGAAACTGAACCACGTGAGCTAGGATGGTGACATATCGCGTGTGCCGAGCCAAGAACATGCCTAATAAGCCTGCAAAATCTCAGCCAGATCGGCCGAGCCGTTCAGAAGGAGTAGTGTACACACACAGACAGACACACACACACACACACAGACAGACAGACAAAACTTTTCAACCGCACTGGAGTAACAGGCTTCGCTATCGCTCAGCCAATCATTTATGTTAGATGCTTGTTGCCGAGGAGGCTGCCGTCCATGAAGCTGAGAGCAGTGATCGCAGGCAGGTCCTGGCGTAAGCGCTGCTTCGACGCCGTGTCAAGTTTGATTCCATTTTCGTAATTTTTATTCATATTTTGCCTGTATCTGTATTTCATTAGTTCAAATGTACATTGTATTTGATTTTTTTAATTTGGTTGAATGTTTGTCGTTTCGCAATATAATACCAAATTCAGAATTGAGTTCATCATTTTTACAACAATCCTTCGACTCATTCAACAGTATAACAACTAGCAACAATTAAATAACACGAGGTAGGTTTACGCCAGACCGCGTCCTGTCGTAACAGGCTTCGCGATGTCTCGCGGCCTGTTCCTCCAATCCGCGCCTGGCGTATCTACCTTGGCCTGCGGCGCTAGCCTGCCTTCGGCAGGCATTGGCTTGTCCATCATCGGTTACTTCTTACGTGTTGCATGCTGGCGCTCCCCAGACCCCCCTTCATTTTAGATAGAGTTCCTTCATCTACAGATAACACGATCTCGACCCTTGTCACTTTTTAGCTTGTCGGGGCTGGGGGGCTCTGCCCCCCAGACCCCCCTTTCTTCAAGACAGAGGTAATCTACCTGCAGAAAACTCGATTTTTCGCCGTTTTTTAGGTGTTTTTCGGCTATAAAAACTGAACCAGTTGAGCTAGGATAGTGAAATTTCGCGTGTGCCGAGCCAAGAACATACCTAGTAAGCCTGCAAAATCTCAGCCAGATCGGCCGAGCCGTTCAGGAGGAGTAGTGTACACACACAGACAGACACACACACACACACAGACAAAACTTTTCAACCGCACTGGAGTAACGGGCTTCGCTATCGCTCAGCCAATGATTGTGTGACCTATATTTGTGTCTTATATTGTAGGCTGTTCCAACTACCCCTCGCCTCATCCATGTTGTTAAAAAGCGTCGGCAAATCCCACAGACAGAGGAAACTCCATCACAGCAATATTTGTTTTCTCAATCACAGAGTAAGGATCTGTTTGCTCCATCACAGAGCGAGGATTTTTATCTAGATGAGGCGAGTGGTGATTTCCGCAAGAGTGAACTATTTTTATCACGTGTTTCTCCTGATGATACTTGTGTAAGTGTACGCTACGCTTTTTCAATATGGAGCTGCCCCCCCTTTTAATGGTGTTGATTAATGCTTTTTTTTTTTTTGTAGGCCATTATTGATCGAGTACTGGAACTGGAGGAACTCGTAGCAAAACAACAAGAGGAGCTGAATAAAAGACAAGAAACACTGCAGCAAACAGAAAAAGAAATTTTAGAAAGTATTATCGCAAAGCAAGATGAAGAACTTTCTCAAATGAGTGAAGAAATAAGTGAACTGCACGAATTGGTAAAGTCTCAGGTCAAGGAGCTTCTTGATGTTTCCAATGGGGAATTTGGGAAGAGGATGGAATCCATGAAGAAAGCTGAAGAGAAATCTATTCAGAAGGTTACGGGAAGCCATTCTTCCAGCTATGCACAACCGGCACACCTGTAGAGGGTACAGTGGCCGTTTTTGTTAGTGGCCACAAAGAAATGGAGGATTTGCTCAGCACGAGCACACATTTTCACATTGATGGTCATTTCAAAATGACCCCTAATGTGAAAGATTGTTACCAATTGGTAACAATCATGGCAGTGGCGTACGATGAGGTGAGTTGCATTTTCTATTGCGTAACAGGCGGTAACTCCCTGTTACTCCCTATCACCCTGCCACGCAACATCCCTCCGCGGCCCACCGAGGGCCCGGCGCCCCGCCCCGGGCGCGCCACGGGTCGCTATTTATTTTTTGGCCAGCATGACAATGTGTGTTACAGTACTTCAAAACGTTTCAGGTTTTCCCTGTCGTGTCGGCCCTAATGACCCGGAAAACAACTGCAGCGTACAAGCTGTTGTTTCGGAGCGTGAAAGAAATGTTTCCAAACTTCAATATGAGGCACATTATGTCCGACTACGAAAAGGGGCTGGTTCGGGCAGTGAAGGAAGAGTTTCCAGGCTCAACTATGACTGGGTGTCTCTTCCATATAGACCAGGTCAGAATCCTTTCTTTTTATCAATCCAGTAAACTATGCAAGTGCGACGCGAGACATCGCAAACACGCAGAGACGGCCGGGCCAGCCAGTCCTGGACAGGCTGGCCTAATCTCCACGTGAGGGTTCAGTCAGGTGACTTTGCGCCAGGACTGGCCCACTTTACCTCGAGCTAAAAATTTTGAAAACGCAGGGTAGCAAAGCCGAAGCATTTACTGATAGTTAAAAGTTTATTTTTCAATTCATAAAATTCTTACTAATTTACTTTTATTTCAGGCCATGTCAAATAACAGGAAAAGTAGCGATATACATCGGCAACTTTGGCCCGTCCCCTACATTAACAATTGTGTGAATTTCGCCTTTGTTTAACCCTGAAGGGTTTTGACCTGAGTCTGGGGTCAAAATAGATGTTATTTTCGTCATCAGTGCCCCCAAAAACATAAGAACCAATGCTAAGACTCGAATGAAAAGAATGTTTAAAATATACCCCACTGGGATTTGAACCCGCGTCCGAACTTCTCAGATTCGCTTGAAACTGGCACCGTTGGTTTCGTCTCGTCGCCCCGATTCCAAAAATACCCCTACATGTCCTGCTGGCTGTATCCGTTGCTGAAATCCTCCTCGACCCCATGTAGACCATGATGCACCTGCAGCAGCGCCCCCGGGGCTCAGATCGGATTTGCTGCCACCGGGCGGTTCTTAGGGTCACCCAAGGAGGCTGCATACAAAATTTGGTCAAGATCGGACCACGGGAAGTCCTCGGACGAACGAACGGACGAACGAACGAACGAACGAACGGACGCACAGCATGCATCATACTATATGCCCGTCCCTCCGTCATTTTTTTACAAAAAATGAACGGGACAGGCCAAAAAGTGTGCTTCCCTGGGCTTGCGGCCGCTTTTAAAAGAAAAACCTGACGATGCCGGCAAGACTGTGCGCATGTGCATGGCACTACCGTTCTTGCCGGCAGAGAAAATTGAGCAAGGTTTTCAGGAGGTAAAGGCCAAGGCCGCAAGAGAGGAGTTCCACGCTCAATTGAAGCCGTTTCTCGACTACGTCGAGAGAACGTGGATTAATGGTGAGTTCTATCAAATATCGAATGGTTATCATTTTTTTTAACCTGCAGGGCAGCGATGTTAATTTGAGTTATTTGTGCGACAGGGGTTGATGGTGCTCATATGAGCGTATACCGCAAGCATCGGCGCACGAACAATGATCAGGTATTGTAAATTAAAGCAGTAACCTACTATGTAAAAAATTTCAGAAGCAATTCGACATGGTTTTTTTTTTAGGAGTCCTACCATCACACCTTGGTAAGCTCACTTGGGAATCCTCACCGCAACGCCTGGAGCTGGGTCGGTGAGTAGAACTAGCGCTTTTAGGTAGTCGTGCGTTCATGTCAGACCTTGGACAAACTTTTACCTATTAACGTTTTTACAGAGGCATTCCGGCTTCACGAAGCCACAGTGTGGCGAAAATTTATTGCGGCCTCGGGTGGCAGTGCCGTTTCGAGGTGCCGGAAGCTGAAGTACAGGCTCTTGGACCGTAACATCCAGAGGCTGACGGAAAAAATGGAGAGGATGACCGTGCTGGAGTTTCTCAGTGCCGCCAGCTACCACTGTTCTCGGACCTACTCCCGCGTAGCTTTGGAAGAGGAAGTCCGAGGAGAAGCACTGGAGCTGGAGGACATGGAGCTTCCAGCCGGCGCACCACAGGATGACCCGGACCCAGTAGAGACCCCTGCCACCGAGACACGTACCACCCGAAGGCGCCGAACCGCTGGACCGCGACCTGCAGCGGGTTCCACCAGGACCAGGGGCAGAGCAAGGGCTGCCGGCGCCGCCGCAGGGACCGTGAACCAGCCCGTGGACCCGCCTGCGGAGGACCCGCCTGTGGACCTGCCTTTGGACCCCGTGGACCCTGTACACCCGCCTGTGGACCCGCCTGTGGACCTCCCCGTGGAACAGCCCGTGGAACAGCCCGTGGACCGCGTCGACCCCGTGGACCCGCCAGTGGCGGCCGTTGGTAGAGCACCTCGTGGACGTCGCGCAGCAGCCAGCCCTGCGCGACGATCCCAGAGAAACCGCGGCCGCCGCGGTGGTGAGCAAAACGACGAGGAGCACGGGACTGAGCCCACCCGCGAGGAGGTTCCCAGAGGGCGTGTCCGCGCAGCCCGCGCAAATGCCGCAGACAGGCCTGTGCGAGTGGCGAGGGTGACCCGCCGCTCGCCCGCTGTTGCTGCTGAGCGCGAGGAGCGCGCTGTCCGCAGGCTGGGAAGGGCGGCTCAGGCAGAGCGGGAAGCCGAGGCGGAAGCCAACAGGCAGATCCTTCAGCTTCAGGAGGATTTGAACGCTGGTAAGTGTACTCCCGAGGCCCGGACTGAAGTTTACATTTGGTCTGCCGGCGTCATTGCACACTAAAATACTATTTATGTACAGTTTTGTACGTGGCGATGCATGATTTTCAACCTGTGCACAGTGGGCCAGAAGGCCGGTGGAGGCGCACAGTGGGCCAGAAAACCGGTGGAGGCGGCCAAAACTCTACCCGCGTTTTGAGCTCCAGAGTCGCTAAACAGGACTCGAACCGAGCGTGTGACCCCACCAATAGATTCCTCGTTCGGAGAGCAATCCATTGGTGGGGTCACACGTTCGGTTCGAGTCCCATTTAGCGACTCTGGAGCTCAAAACGCGTCTAGAATTTTGGCCGCCTCCACCGGTCTTCTGGCCCACTGTGAGGCGGTCAAAACTCAAGACACGTTTTGAGCTCCTGGGTCGCTTAAAAGGACTTAATACTTCAGCGCTGTGCCGTGAATACTCCATGCTCTGCTCAAAGACGACGCTCTGTGACATTCTCATAGCTTCGACTCCTCCGTAGGTAGACGGAGAGGTGGGGGCATCGGGGTGGAGCAGGGACGCAAGGAGGCGGGACGGGCCCGGCAGGCTCGGGTGAGGCCCCCCCCCCCACTGCACCCGGCACGGACCCTGCTACTTTGCCGGCCGGGCCACCCTGCGCCTTTGCTAGCCAGGCGACCCTGCTACTTTGAGGCATCACGACCCTGCTACTTTGAGGCACAACAACCCTGCGCCTTCACCACCAGGGACACCCTGCTACTTTTCCAACCCTGCTCCTTTTACCGCGTCTCATTTTAGGGGTTTGCTGGTCTCACAAAGAATGGCCCTAATGATAGTGCAGTCTTTAATATCTAATACATTACCTATATGATTTAAAAATAATTGCAAAACAGGGGCTGAATACTGCACGGTGACCTTAGAGCTGGAAGGATTGCAACACCTTCATGACCGCCTTCTTTTTCACTTTCAGGGCAGCCCTACTGGGACTCATTTTTGCTCTGTGTTGTTCAAATATTGCTGCAAGGTACTTCGGGTCCCAAGAAGACCAGAACATGGTGGGAATTTTGAGCGGTCTACTAATCAGTAAGTTAATTTAGGTTCATAGTTCTCCTCACGTAGCAGAGTAATAATGACCTCAGTTTTTAAGGCAGATTGTTTATCTTACCATGATGTGTTTGTTTTGTTTCAGCGGCAGCATCTATTGTATAAGCCTGTTTCAGCGGCAGCATCTATTGTATAAGCCTTACCATTAAAATGCCTTGAGCATTCACTAACCAGACTCTTTTTCTGACATGACCCCAAGACCCTTCTCATTCAGTAACAGAATAGTTAAACAAGGCAGCACAAGGCAGCACAGCCAAACACTTAACCTGGACCGGGAACTAGATGGGCGGGGTCGAGATGTGCGTGGGGCAACTTAGGCCGGGGACGAGTAAGCGGCTCGGTAAGCGGGGAAGAGTTGTCCTAGATCCGCCGTAGTAAACAAACAAGTTGCAGCCTGATATTTCTGAGCAGTGTTTCGTGTGTTTTGTGTGAGTGCTTCAAGTGTTCAGCTAAGGGAGGGTGGGGCACCATGACCACTGGGGCACCATGACCACCCCCCTCGCTCTCGGGAACTACTTTGCCGACGGCAACCGGTCGACCGGACTTTCGAGAGAATAGAATTGTAACTATTTTCAGCCAGAGCCCTACCTTCTAGCTTCAAGGGTACGACCATAGCACCTCGCCAAAATTTTTGTTACAGCGTTTTGGCTAAATTGGGCGTTTTTCAAATCTGGGATATTTTTTCTCACTCTCACATTTGAGAAGATAGGTTCGATGTCTTAGGTTTTCCTCAAAATGTCGGCTCTTCGGCAAAATATCCAACATCACATTTAATTCTAAGTAGTTGTTTGCTTGCTCGGGGAGCCTTAGAGTCGTAAACTGCACTGTGGGGCACCATGACCACTTTTTAGTGGGGCACCATGACCACACATATTTGAGTGTTTTTTCTCATATTTTGGCCTGATAATGATTTATTTTCGTCGAAAATTTGCTTTTTGCTTCTGAAAATGTATAAAGGTTGAATAATTGCTGCAGAATAGATAGTTTTATCACAAATTTGTGATAATTTGTGAATCACCAAGATGATTAAGAATGGTTCTGAAACTGAGACTTGATATGGTGGTTTCTCTTGCACTAAATGAGCTCCAAACCGCAAAAGTTGGCCGCGAAGGCGATCCGTGGCTACTTTGCACCAAGATGGCTCTGGCATTATGAGAAACAGCATTTAATTCACTTGTTTGCAGTGTAGTAACCGCGATAATTTTCTTAAAATTTACCAAATTGAAATCTGCATACGAATTTGGACTCGTCTTAGCAAGACGAACATAAAATGTTAACACATGTCATAGCTTTGGATGTGAAATTTGAAAGCCTTAGAGCGTTAACTGTTTTAAACCGTCCATTTCAAGGCATCTTAGAACGTTTGATACTTCGAAGGTTTTTACAGTGTTTTTTAGTTTAGTTGACTGGCCTGATGGTAATGACAGCGATATAAACAATTTCAATGAGAATACTGGTAGAAAGTACACTTTTTTGGGCCCAAAAATTACTATGGTCATGGTGCCCCACGGGGTGGTCATGGTGCCCCATAGGTGGGGCACCATGACCACTTTGCGTTTTATTTTCCAAAGTGTTCTGTGAGCCTGCCGTGCATTGCAGACAAGTTCCAATGGGTGGAAGAGGTCCTTGGAGGTCCAAAGAATCCCCTCATGCTAGAAACTTAACTGTTCGAACCACACGGTGGAGTAGAGGGAGGCACAAAAAAAAAGTGGTCATGGTGCCCCACCCTCCCTTACTTAATGATGAGTTTCGTTCGACTTTATCTCTGCATCCGTGTTTGTAGCAGTTTTATGTGAGTTGTTTTGTTGGATCGGTTGCAGATTTCTTCGAAAATGTCTAAGTTCAAACTGTGTGATGTTAGTTTGCATGATGAGAGCTTGCCAAGGGAAACTGATTGGAACTTGTGTAAACTATGTCAGCTTAACACAAAAGAGGACCTAACTAATCCAGGAAGAAGTCTCAAAGCGGACAAAGATGTTGGTTACTCGAAATTGGCTGAAAATTTGGAAGAGTTTAATAGGCTTGGGCAAGTGCCTCTAGGATTGAATGTTTCCGCGGTCACAAGGGCGTGGACAACTCTCGCGATGGGTCATGCGGCCGGCGGTGTGACATCGCGGGCCTGGCCACCAACCAAGGCCCCAGCTACGCTTTGGGCGTGATGCGGAAACTGCAGCAGGGCCGGACGCCCGACAAGGTGCTCAAGGGCTACGTGGTGAAGCGGGAGAAGGCTCTCACCGCGAAGCGCGTCCGCGCCGCCGCCGTCAAGGAGGACCCCAGCCACACCCCCCCCCCTATTTTTTTAATAGAAGGGCGGGCCAAAAAGTAGCTCCTCCCAAAAAACCAGTGTGCCAGCCCAAAAAAGTAGCTCCTCCCAAAAAACCAGTGTGCCAGCCCAAAAAGGTAGCTCCTCCCAAAAAAACCAGTGTGCCAGCCCAAAAAAGTAGCTCCTCCCAAAAAACCAGTGTGCCAGCCCAAAAAAGTAGCTCCTCCCAAAAAACCAGTAAGCCAACAAAAAGAACAAACCAAGACTAATCCAATCTCAAAGAGCACACCAACTAAAAGAGCATAAGTAATCCAACTCACAGTTCACCCTAAACAAAACACCAAAGTAGCCCAAGATAAACAACTATTCCCCCAAAAAAGAAAAGCCGAAACTAACCCAACCCCAAAAGATATAGTGTTTTGCAGGTATTTATCTAGTCTTGAGTAGGTGTCTACCATCACTTGCGTGTTTGTTTTGGATATGGTGTATTTATGATGCAGCTTGTTAATTTGTCTAGGCCTTGTTCCATATCTTTGCATTCGTGAATTCGTGACTGTTGAGGGGCAAGAAGAGTGCAAGAGGAATCATTGCACCTCTTTACAGTGTGCTTAGTACAGCGTTTTTTTGCAACATGTATCGTCAAAAACCCCTGTGCGTGCTAATCTGGTACCGCGGCGGCTCGCCGGCCGAGCTGCAATGTCCCCAAAAAATTCGATTATCTCAAACTCCAGGTCAAATTTGAAAAATCGACCACCTGGAGCGTGTTCAGGACACTCCACTTTATTGATCCCGCCGAAGACGCAACTTGTTCTGCGCACCGTTAAGGATTTGGACGGCTTTGAACACCACCTTGTTAAATTTCCCGAAATTTGGACTTTGAGGCCTCGCAGAATCGGCCTCAGTCACAATTTTGGCAAGTGCTCGACGGCAACGTGATCTTTGAACCCTTCTTAAGGTTACTGTAAGGTGAAAAAACTATCTTCCAAAGTATAGGTGGCAGTGCTTCGGTTTTTGGTGATTTAGTTGCTTACTATGAAAAACTTTTACAGCCACAGACTGGACTCCCAACTCCCATTAGTTCCAAAGTTATGAGGGTTTTAGTGTTATTTTAGTCGTTTACTAAAAATTCTCCTTGCGATGAACCAAAAAGTTTACGGAGAGGTGACTTTTTATTTTAAGGCTTAATGGACATGCAAACAGACTAGCAAAGCCGGATTTGACAATATATGCATAGATAAGCTGTAATTTCTGTTTGGAAAATGCGTTTTGAATTTTTTACTTAAATTTGGTAAAATTTTGGTATTTTTTGGTGTTTTTTTGAGTTTTTTGAGAAAAATTCCTGTTTCATGTTCGAATTTTGGAAATCCGGCTTTGCTACGAGATAGGCAAATCAATAAAGAACTTGTAAAACAAAAATCAAGTCTCGACAACTTTTGGTTCATCGCAAGGAGAATTTTTAGTAAACGACTAAATTTGTTACGTAAACTGCAACACAGAAAATAATGGGAGTTGAGTGCCTCAACTTTGGGTTTAAGTTCATCTTATAGTAAGCAACCTGAAACCTAAATGCAAACATGATGCCACAATTATTTTGGAAAATGATATTTCACATTTTTTTCACTTTACAGTAACCTTAAGCAACCCTGAAAATTTGGTTTGGAAATTCCAACTGGAAGTCCCACTTTTGGGCCAAAACTCGCGGCCGCGACGTGGAAACCACCGCCGTGCGCTGCGGGTTGCCTACCCGAAATTCCCGTAAGGCGCCATGTTAAATTTAACCCTTCATAACTTTTTTCCTAAGGGATAAAAAAAATGCGTCTGCGGGTCAAAACGTTTCTTTTGGCCTTAACTATCGATGTGCAAAGCGGCATTGCATGCGGAAAAAGTGCAGGGTCCGGCCTTTTTGTTGGACTAACACCGGCCACTATTCCAGGCCATACTGGTTTTGCCAACAAGGCATTAATTTTCTTATTGGCTGGAATATCAGTTCGGTGGAAATTGTCTGTTCACATTGAATTCACCAGCAAGAAAGATGACGAGACTCCCAGTGATGGCACAGGAGAAGCATATGCTAATATCTTCAACAGAATTTTGACACGGACTGAAGAAATTGGTTTTCATGTTTGTAATATTACATTAGACATGGGAGCTGACAACATGTCGTTCTGGAAGTATTTTGGCATCACTGGTGGCCGCTTCCAAATTTTGAAGAGTTCCATCCCACACCCTATTCGACTTGGTGGCAAGGTCTTTTTCTGCCCAGATGCGGTACATGTGATGAAAAGCATGAAAAGTATGTTTGAAGGTAATGGCACCATCATTCTTCCGGCAGATATTGTTGAAAAGGAAAACCTGCCATCTGCTGTTGTAGATTACAGCCACATTGACGATTGACTGGAGTTTGAAGAGGGCTTCGAACTCAAGGTAGCCTTTCGACTCAGGAAGAAGAATGTACGCTGTGAGTCACAGTTTAAGTCAATGAATGTGGGCACAGCCAAAGCTGTGATCTGTCACCGGACGGGTAAGGCTCTGAAGCTACTTGCTCAAGAGACAGACAACTACCAATATGAAACCACATCTTGGTTCATCATTCTGATGAACACTTTCTTTGATCTAATGACATGCAGGCGCCGTGGACTAGCTATCTCCAAGGATAACATGGTTGCCTATGACAAAGCAATCAAATTAATACAGAAAGTTGAGTACATCTTCACTCACATGACAGTTGGGGACAAAGGAGGTTGGAAGCCGGTCCAAAGAGGTATTCGAGTTCTCTGCAACAGTGCTCTGGGCTTGATACATTATTTTCTTGAAGAGAGAAAATATAAGTCTCATGCTGGGCAGATTTACATCAGATTGCATTGAGAATCTTATATCGCTTTTGAGACTGAAACAGAAAGTGCCAAACTGTCAGTCTGTGCTGCAGTGCCTCAAGGTGATTACTCTGGCACAGTTTTCTGAAGCAGTGAAGGGGTCCTCTTATGATTATGAGGAAGGAGAGCAACTGCCTGTGAATTTCCTGGAGCTAGCCCAGCAGCGGGCCAAGAAGCGAGCTGAGGCCAACCATGTTAGAACTTTGGATGAAATAAGAAGAAATCCAGTTAAGAAATTTGAAGATAATGAGTGCTTTCAACTGGATACATGGGAGCGCACTGTTGTCTATGATATGGCTGGCAGTGTTGTTAAGCGTATCCTGAATGCCAATAAGACTGTTTGTGATAACTGCATTGATGCGCTGAAATGGAACGAGGAACAGGGTGAACTTGTGTGACAGTAATGAAGGAGTACAAACTATTGCGCTCAGATGGTAATGAGGATGAAGGACTGCAAATTTATGTGTCATATCCTGTCTTCATAGCTGTAATGAAAATGGAACTGACTTTTAGGGCGCTCAGAGATGACTTTGTGTCTTTTGAAAGTATCTATGTTGTACAGTACTTTGTGGAAAGTCTCATGTATGTCTGGGATGGGTGTGACGTTCCCAACTGCCATTCTTTGGGCAAGTTCTATATCCAAATGTTTCTTGATGCGCGGCTGAAAGAGTGGGCTAAAATTTGTAGAGAGGCAGAGAAGAAAAAATTTTCCAGAGTACCACTCAGCAGCAAAAGCGTTGCCCAACACCATATCGCTGAAAACATCAAAACTACTCGATATGCCAACTCTCAGTGATTTTCCACAGTTTGATTCAAAAATGAGATTCTTGGTGATTTGTGAATGATGGAGTGATTTTGTAACTGCTCATATTAGATACTTGTGATCTCATATGATTCCTTTTTTTACATTGTTGTCACTACTTGTAAGGAAGGTTAATTTTTCCCTTTACGTAAGTGTAATGTGAATGATGCAGTCACTTTGTAACTGTTTATCCCATGTACTTGTGATCTCAGGTGATTGATTCCTATTTTTATTGTTAATTCCATTCCTAAGTAAGGTTTATTTTCTTTAAGTGTTAAGAGGCTGTGTGTATTGTGAATGAAGCAGTCATTTTGTAACTGTTTTTCTCAGGTACTTGCAACGTCAAGTGATTCCTATTTTTACTAATACTGTGTTGACTACAGTAAGTTTATTTGTTTGAAAATACATTTGACGTAGTGTCACAAAGGACCAATTGTGATTGAGTGCAGGATGAAAATAAAGTATTTTCACTGTTAGTCTCATTTGCTTTTATTGCAATTCTGAAATGGGTGAGGACCATCAATTTCCAATTCAAACAAACAGATTTCTACCAGGCATTAGATCATCTCTATTCTAGTACAACTTAACTATTGCCTTATGGACTAACTTCTCCAAACCAGCTGTGATAAAATCAAACAACCACTAATGAAGGTGGTAAGTGAAGAATGTGCCAAGATATGCAAACAATAAAACACAAAATAAATGATAAGTAAAATATACAAAATGAATAAAAAAGATGACAGGTGAAATAATAATGAATATGAAAGGTGACGGATGAAATATAAAGACTCTGAAAAATCACACCAACTTTGAGAGTAGAAAAAAGCCAAAATGACTAGTTGTGATATTCGATCTTTCTCTTTGAGAGCCAAGACAGAATTTAATTCACAAACAATTAATACACGATGGGATCACACAAACTTTGAGAGTAATAACATGGAAAATGTGGACAAGATACGTTATTCCATCTTTTCTCTTTGAGAGCTAAGACAGAATTTAATTCACAAACAATTAATACACGATGGGATCACACAAACTTTGAGAGTAATAAGATGGAAAATGTGGACAAGATACGTTATTCCGTCTTTTCTCTTTGAGAGCTAAGACAGAATTTATTCACAAACAAATAAAACACTATGCAATTACACAAACTTTGAGAGTAACAACATGCCAAAATGCGGACAAGTTATGTTACTCCACCTTTCTCTTTCAGAGCCGAGGCAGAATAAAATACAAACAGCATAAAATAAACATCCTCACTTAAAGCTATCAGAAAATAAAATGGGAAAACACACTTGCTTTGAAAGCATGAATACAGTCCAGATGGCTGCATCCAACTAACTTCCTCACTTACAGCTAACATGAAATAAAATGGGGTAACATAGATGCTTTGAGAGAATGATTACAGCCCAAAAGGCAGAGAAGTTTGATTATTCCATCTTTCCCTGAAGGACACTAGATGGATCGAAAAAGAGGTCACTCACACATCTCCACCCACATCAAAGACGTTTCATATTCATAACTCCAGCGTTTAATAAGCTAATCTTTTAGCTTGTTTGCTTCTTTAACCTTGGCAATGCGACTGTTGGTGCACATTATCATCCACGCCAGCTCTTCCTTAGTAAGGTTATGCTGTGAAATAAAAAGAAAACTTGAAAGGACTGTACTACATCAAAAGAATAGTGTAGGTCGTATGTAGGGTCATATGTATGAACATTGAACCTCTTCGGTGATGCCAACAAAAATCTGGGAATGCCGCTCAGGGCACCCACTACCGGCAACTCGTCACCCTCCGCCCTGCCAAAGTAAAGAAGGTCGTCTTCCAAACGTCAATTGTGCATGTTCGCATCTTACATACTGGCATACTTACAGTTCTCTAGTTGCGCAAAAGGTGTGGTAACGTCCGTCGTTGCGAAGCTGGACACCCCTCTCGAACCAGGCTAGGAGCGTGCCGACAGCCTCCGGCATCCTGTTCATATTCTGTTCGGCGAATGATGTTGAAAAACGAACACCGTGGAACAGAAACAAGCCCGCCTGGGCCCCTTCTACCCACTCACTGCTGTCTTTGATCCGATCCATGGTCCTGGAAGTAAAAAGATAATTTTGAAACCTGATCACAAGGTTATGTACATAACCTTTCAACTCAACACTGCGCAACAAATTTATTTCATTTCATAAGCGATAGAACCCAAGTGCTTTTACCTCCTGTCAAGAAATCGATGAATGAAATGTGTGGCCTTGGAACACTTGGAACACTTGGAGAGGTAGAGAGAGAGTGACAACTGGGATATATACGACACAAATGCGTCCGGACGTTGACCGCAACGGCTGTTTTCCCCACGAAACAAGCACATTCATTTTCATGGAAGGCAGTGCACGTTATGTTGGCACCAGGCATTTATAATTCTCATGTTGGCACGCCTGTTATCGATACATCGATAGACGTCGATACCGGCACTTGAATTTAGTTGTTGTTTGTTCCAATTGTGTCTCAGTGTGTTGTGAAAGTGTTGTGTAGAGTGTTAAAGAAAGTGTTAAATACAAGTAGCCATGGCTGACATGTCTGACCGGGAAGTGGTGGACATTTTTGAGGGGCGGCAGGCTGTGTCGTTTTCTCAGTATTTGAAGTGTGCTAGCATATATGTGGGCAACCTCACGCGTATGTCGTCGGTGAGGTACCCATTGCACCCCAGCAGTTTTGATAACGTTGTAAAGCAAATGAAGCCGGCGTCAGACCATCCCGAGAGTCTAGTGTACGCTACTGCGGCTCCCAACCTGCCGTCGTCAATGACCCTAGAATCTCATGATGTTGCACCGCGTGTTGCACTATCAAGTCGTAAAAGCGCACTCGAAGTATGAAGGAAGGGGGCCCCTTTATAGAAATTACTAATAATGCGGATCAAGAAACACCGAAACGCCCATCTATTGCAGTAAGTTGTGGAGCTGTAAGAATATTTGGGTTCAGCAGATAAAATTTTTGGAATCTGACTTTATTATTCTCATCATTCCAACAACCAAGTCAAATTATCAGAACAATTCAACAGACAGAACTGGATGCTGTAAAAAGTCTGCTCAGCCTTTGTATGGTGAACCGAAGCCGCTTGTATTTCATTTGCCTCTGAACGGAAGCAGCATTTAAATCATCTGAATTTGGCTCCCCTTACTTTTCAGATTAATCTATTATAACGGATGACAAATTGGATACCACATCTCCGAAGCACCATTCCAATGCAGTAAGGTTTTCAAGTCTAGCTGTGCTATTACAGTTTTCTGAGGTGTGTAGACTCTAATGATTTAACACACATTAGCATGCAGAATCGCATTCATATTGTTAAGAAAAGGATCCCTTTTTCAAACATCACTAATTTTGTTGAAGAAACACTAGTGTCCCAGAAAGTTGTCTGCCGATATTGCCTTACTTCTCATGCCCGTGCCCCGTGCCATGCAATATGCCGCCTCTTCCTTTTCTGATTGATTCAACATTCCTGGATGTCAAATTGGGTACTCTTAGGATGATCTCCCCAGAAGTCCCTGAAACGCCTGCTGTTATCAGTCCCAGTGGGGTTTTGAATGAAATATTTGGTCATTTCACTTCAGGTCCCTGTTCCAATTTTAACCCTCATGTCTTATCCCTACCGATTCCAACATCATTACCTCTCAGTGATCCAAATCTCTCTATACGTTTTTACTCCATTGAAAACTTTTTTAACTCAGGGTTTAAACAAACCTTGAAATCAGGGAAAAGTCAGGAAAAAAATAAGGTCAGGGAAATGTCAGGGAATTATTTTAAATCAAATTGAATATCCCATATTCAATGGTGACAACAAAATGGGGAGAGACCAAGCTCAGTGTGTGGTTGCCATTGACAGTAAAGTAAGACTTGTTGTTTTTTTTCCGGATCAAGATGCTGATGGAGATCTGACTTTGCTGTCAATGATAACTTACTGTAACATTTTGAATTCTAATTTAACCTGTTCTGTCTAGTTCCAGAACCTCTTGTCGTCAATGAACCTGCACCCATTGACCTTCAAGATAATAGAATTGATGAAATGATCCAGGCTGAAGAGCAGGAAGATAACAGAGCCAATGGTATTCTAGTCCCTGCTCAAGTGCCCTTCCCCCACGCTAATTACGAACTGCTACAAATCTCTGATATGGTGGTGCGTGAAAATGACTCCATGAATAGGAGCCAAAGGAGGAAACCGCTTTCTGAGAAAGCTAACTCCAGCTTACTTCTTTCCCTTTTTGAACAGAACTTAAAACAGTTGGTAAACCAGTGAGTATATGCACTGTGCCTAAATGCCATCCACTTAAATTTGCTTTGCATGTTTGCTTATGTTTATTTTTTCCTTATTTTCAGTTCCTTACCCGCGGGTGCAATGACCGCTGTCGTGAATAAGCTGGTTGGGACATATTCTTATCTTGCAGACGTAAGAATTTATGGTGCTAAGAGATATGTACCTTTTGTGAGTGTCCAGCTTAAGTTCTTGCCCAGGTTTAAGTAAGGTTTTGCTTAAAAATGTATTTTTATTACTTCTGTGTTTTCAGTCTACCTGGAGGGCGGCCCTGAGGTCGAAATTTGCGGAAAGAAGAAGGGGCATTGAAGATGAAGCTACTAGGAAAAGCCGTGCCAGCATGGCGAACAGGAATGTGTTGAGAGCAGATGCTCCTCAACGAGATCCTAACCGTGCCACCAGAAGGCAGACCCCTGCTGAGGTAACTACACTAACGCACTATGGATGTTTTTGGTGTGATTTTTTTTCTTTGCATTAACGTTTTGGATTTTCAGGCGAATGAAGTCGATGCTGGTCAAACGGTCCACACAATAAATGAACATGTCAATTGGATTGTGGCCAACTGGGCTGCAGATATGGACCCGCTGCAGGCCAATTTGCTAGATGATAGGACGTCATCGACAAAATACTACAGAAGAAGACGGGCCAGGAGCGGTGGTGTGATAACCCCACCCCGCTTCGTTCTTCAGAAGTTTCCCTCACTGTCAGACTTCAGGCAGGTGATAAACGAAGGCTTGACACAGCTTGGCATCGACTTCACATTTAAAAGGGAGCAGTCCCTGACTCCCAGACGAGCAGGAAGCAGCAAGTGCCCAGCCTACAACATCCAGTCCAAAGCAACGCACTCTCAGCCTGCCCAAGAACAGAGTGCGGAAAGCGCACGGGTCAGGCTCCAGATTCGCCCAAGCCCGGATCGATTTGGAGCAAAAATACACAACCTACATTTGCGAACGAGAGCTGGCTACGGAAACAAGAATAACTAGCCTTAAAGCGTTATCGGCTAGCAGGGAAAAAAGCCACCAGTTAAAGCCTGAAAATTTTCAATTTTTTAAAAAAAATGGCCAAAGCTTTACTTGAGGAAAAGAAATTTGAGCGGCTATTGAAGGAGAGAAAAATAGCTGCCAATGCGGAGAGGAATAGGATTCTACCAGCTTTGTTGCCGCAGGCACCTGTCAACGGTAGTTCCATATAGTATTGTGATTTATTAATTAGCTTTTTTAAAATTATTTTTATTGCATTATTCATTGTCTTAGTACATTACAATTTTGCCACTAAGCAGAACATCATTATTTCAATTTTTATTTCATACTTCAAATTTTTAAATTGTTTTACTAGTTGCTTAAATGACTTAAGGGCCAGTAGAATCAGTACAAATGATGTAAAATATTAGTGCTGTGTGTATTGATGAAGTGCGGTGAATACCTCATCACTCAACGAGAGATTTAGTTAGACTTGATTGCGTTTTTTTCTTGTAAAGGGACATTGAAGATGAAGCTACTAGGAAAAGCCGTGCCAGCATAGCTAACAGGAATGTGTTGAGGGCAGATGCTCCTCCTCAACGAGATCCTAACCGTGCCACCAGAAGGCAGACCCCTGCTGAGGTAACTACACTAACGCATTATGGATATTTTTTGTGTTATTTCTTTTTCTTTGCATTAACCTTTTGAATTTTCAGGCGAATAAAGGCGATGCTGGTCAAACGGACCACACAATAAATGATTATGTCAATTGGATTGTGGCCAACTGGGCTGCAGATATGGACCCGCTGCAGGCCAATTTGCTATGTGATAGGATGTCATCGACAAAATACTACAGAAGAAGACGGGCCAGGAGCGGTGGTGTGATAACCCCACCCCGCATCGTCCTTCGGATGTTTCCCCCACTGTCAGACTTCAGGCAGGTGATAAGAGAAGGCTTGACACAGTTTGGCATCGACTTCACATTTAAAAGGGAGCAGTCCCTGACTCCCAGACGGGCAGGAAGCAGCAAGTGCCAAGCCTACAACATCCACTCCAAAGCAGAGCACTCTCCGCCTGCCCAAGAAGAGAGTGCGGAAGGCGCACGGGTCAGGCTTTAGATTTGCCCAAGCCCGGATCGATTTGGAGCAAAAATACACAACCTACATTGACGAACAAATGCTGGCTACGGAAACAAGAATAACTAGCCTTAAAGCGTTATCGGCTAGCAGGGAAAAGAGCCACCAGTCGAAGCTTGAAAAATTTCAATTTAAAAAAATTTGGCCAAAGCTTTACTTGAGGAAAAGAAACTTGAGCGGCTATTGCAGGAGAGAAAAGTAGCTGCCGATGAGGAGAGGAATAGGATTCTCTCAGCTTTGTTGCCGCAGGCACCTGTCAACGGTAGTTTCATAAAGTATTGTGATTTATTAATTAGCTTTTTTAAAATTATTTTGAATACTTTATTCATTCTCTTAGTACATTACAATTTTGCCACTAAGCAGAACATCATCTTTTCGATTTTTACTTCATTATTCAAATTTTTAAATTGTTTTACTAGCTGTTTAAATGCCTTAAGTGCCAGTAGAACCAGTACAAATGATGTAAAATCTGCACCGAGACCTAGCAGTAAGACTCCTGAAGTGTCTCATCCTACTCTAGTGTCTGAAGGTATGGATTCCGTAATTAAATTGCAATTAAATGTAGTTAAATGACTGTATTACTAGCCGAAATTTGAACTTGTAGGACCTAGCAACCAGGCTCCTGCGCGTGGCAGCAAGACTCCTCCTACAGTGCCTCGTCCTGCACCGGGACCTAGCAAGGAGACTCATCCTGTGAGTAGCAGCAAGATTCCTCCTACAGTGCCTGATCCTGCACCGAGACCTCGCAGCAAGACTCCTCCTGCCTCGCACCTGGGCGGCGAGTCATTGGCCGGAAGATGGTGGGAGAGAGGGTGCACGGCAAATTCAACAGGATGAAAGCGAATTTAAGGGCAGAGTTGGCCAACAACTGATGAACAAGAGGCAACTAGCTGGTAAGTTAGAGAGAAGTCATATAATTTCAATATACTTTTCTCACTTAAGTTTGTTCATTCGGTATTTTAATTTTTTTTTTGTTTCAGTGACAACGGACAAAAAGAAACCGACATCTAAAGGTAGTAACAAGAAACATCTAGATTCTAAATGGGAATCCAACTGTCAATTCAGGGGACGAGATCCAACCTTCCCAGCAACGCCGAAAGGCTGGGTAGAAAATAAGATGAAATTAGATATTACTGTAGGTTTAGACTACATTCCCCAAGTGATTTCAAATACTGATGACCTCAACCTTTACAATAATAGAATACTTTTATCCGAGGCAAAAGCAGTAGATTTTAGTATAGAGACTGTGAGCCAAAGTGACTGCCCAATGTGGATGCAGCGTAGGAAATTACTCTTCACAGGCAGTA